ACTGTACATGCATCTCTTTGTCTGTGTGTTGTGGAACATGCATAGTTTTACAGTCATTTTCTACAACAGTTATATGTAAATTGTGCTGAAATATTTCACTGAATCCCTGCTAAAATACTATTGAAACATATTAGCTACTTTTTGCGAGATCATTATGTGTTATGTTCATTACTTTGGAAAATAAATATATATTGAAATTCATGTCATTGTTTCCGACAATAACCAGCCAGCCAATACAAAACAAAACTATTGTTTATCATAAAATAAGTATATGGTTATGTCTAATGATGATGTAAATGTATTGTCTCTCTAACTTGGGCCAAATATGTGTCCATATATACATGTACTATATATATATATATATATAAGGCATACTCTTCCTTACTCACACAACTTTCAATTGTGAACCTGTTATCTGCTTTGGGCCCACTCCTTTATGTTCAACCACTGTGTGCCGTCTTTCCCCCTCTGCTGGCCGGGCTGACCTTGAACCCCACGGCGGCGGTCTCAATGCCCGAGGCCCTCAGTCTGAACCCTTCCAGGCCGTTCATATCCTCCTTCCTCCTCACACGGGCTCGCCCTGCTCCCAAACAACAGCCCACGTTGATGACAGAGGCTCACCCCCGTGGCAGTGAAGCTGTTGTCTCCGTGTCAGAGTGTGTGAGAGTATGTGTGTGTGTGTGTGTGTGTGGTTGGGGGCGTTGTTACTAAAGGCAAAGGGTAGTTATTGCTCAACATGCGCTGTCGTCCTTACATCATTTATACATGGGTGGTGGCGGTTTTCTTGTGTTTTAGGCTAAAGTTTCCCACTGCGGTAGACATTCATACCCGCTACGTTTTATGCATATTTTAAGATAACAACAAAAAATGGAGGGTGTGTTTCATAGACTGTGCAAAAAGTAGAACAAGTGAAGCCTGTCTTTTCTTAAAATACCTTTCGACCTTGAAACACTGGAATGTTAATGTACATCCAGATGAATGTTGTGATGAATTAAATTTAAGAAAATAAAAAAATCCGCCCACTCTTCTGTTCTCCCAATTCACACAAATCATTAACACGGTCAAACCCAATCTCCCCACCCCGATACCCCACACACAATACATGCAGACACTAGTTAGTGAAATGTGTGAAGAAAAGATTGCATAAGTGAGAGTGATCTCACACACACACAGACACACACTCCTTAGCTACCCCAGAGGCAATGAGTATGGATTCACAGGGCAGAACACTTGGGGATGGAGGGGGCTGCGTTACCTAGCAACGAGCTTGTTGACGTCCAAACAATGTTCATGTCGTCAAAGTGGCTGGTTGTGCCTGACTGAGGTTCTGCTGAGTTTAACAATGTCACTGGTGTGTTCATAAATGTAGACAGAGAAACTGCCGGACTGAATGACACATAAGGTACACATACTTGTGTTTGTCATTTCTCGGTCCATACAAAGGGCAAGTAGTGCTCACAGCTAGAGGAGTAAACTTTGGAAAAGGAGGAAGATGTGTCTACTTTTTGACAGCTTCTAGGCACATACATGTGGCTAATTCCACAAAAGAAGATGATATTTCTCAACTTTGGACCCTAAGATATAACTTGCATTTATCTAAATATCAACCAAGGATGATAAGTATCACTGTTTCTTTGCAGATATCTAACAGGATGTGTTAATCCTGTACATTGCTTCGTTAGATTTTTTGACAAGACGTTTTGAGGCCTGGCAACGTCATCCAGGTACATTTGCTCATCTGAATAACAGGCACAGAGATTCTGAGAGGAAGTTAAGACTGCCCACTTGAAATATGATACACGCCTTTTCTTTCAGCGGCATACATCCCAAAAATGATATTTAATACTATTCATAGTGAGAAGTCTGTGGCATTGAAATAGTACAGGACTTTCAGTCGCATAATTCAGGCTACCCCAAGGTGCTTTGTAGTGGAATTAATAGCCATTGCTTTATAGAGTACTGCCTAAGGCCTCTGCATTTTAGGCGTCGGGTTTCAGCATCATTGGGAAAAATCCCTCAGCCGATGGCTATTTATAATGCAACAGAGGTGGATAAGAAGCCAGAGTCTTTAAGGACACGTCTCATTCACACTCCGATGGCAAATGTTTGCGTTTAGTACACGTGTGTGTGTGTGTGTGTGTGTGTGTGTGTGTGTGTGTGTGTGTGTGTGTGTGTGTGTGTGTGTGTGTGTGTGTGTGTCTGCTGTTTAACAACTTTTGTCTGTGACCTTCAGATGAAACAATTAGAGTGGGCACCACATGTGCTGAACCAACTGCTTCACACAATGAGTGTAGTCCACACCACTGCATCATGCAGATGTTTTAGGTTGGCTTAGCTAATGGTTGCCTCTGGCTTCACCTCGAGAGCTTTCACTTCTGACTCGATGTTTCTTGTGTGAAGCTGCTTTGCATCAGTGTGATGCTGCGTAATTAATCACCCGATGTTAATGGAAGAAATAATGGGCTGCGTGACAGAAAAGGAACAGGATCACCAGCAGTTTATGTGAGATGTACAACACAAACTACTGTATGTGATAGACTTTTGATCATCAGATCAGAAAAATCCCAGAGAAAACTCCAAGTCCAAGATACTATATAATTCTACTTATATGCCCAAAAAGGTCAGTGTATTTACATAAATACAAGTACAAGTAACAAGTATATAATTTGAGGGAGTACCCCTTTTTAAAGTCCTGTTATTATCATCATCCTCATAACGCAAACTTCCCCTCTGTGATGCATTGCAGGCGATTCGACCATGATAACACAAACATGAAGTGGGCGATTATCTCCAGACGCATTCTCCACACATTACCAATATTGCTCAATATGTCTCGATTTCAATCTGCTGCATATGCTTTTGCAGGATGCGTATTTTTCGGTTTAATGGTATTGATGAGCGGATCACTGGAGCAGAAGAGACTGTGAAGGAGGAAAATATTTTTTAAATGTTATTGTTAGTATTAAATTATTTTTTGGCCAGTTTAATAGGTCTCGAGAAGAAAAATTAAATCAACAATGTCAATTTTTTTCTGATTAAAGACAAAATGAAAGAAATGCTGACTGTATCATTTCTGATTCAAACCTTGGCACTCATTGCTCATTGGCAAGGTTTTATTGTTCGTAAATCTTAATTGTGCCTTTTTATTAAGCCATCAATAAATCTTTGTCTTGGAGGTAACCCAATAAATACTTCCTTTGCTTTCATGAAATGTCAGAAATTTCATCTTGGAATATGTTCATTGTTAGGGTTTCGGAAAGCTCTCGAGGGAGGCCTCAATCCTTGTTCTCGTCCCGGCCGGAAACGAGGACACGAATGAGTCAATTCGTTTAAATTCAAAATCAAAAAGTATTTAATAACTGAACAATGTTATAAGGAATGCAATTACAAAGTGAAATACTAAGCGAACAGTGGAATATTTCGCGAAATAGAGAATCCTCTGAGCAAGTCTAAAATGACTTATCAAGGCGGCTGCAGGAGAAATTCTAACAGTCTTTCCCCCGCCATGGTCCTTTGAAAACTCTTGAGGTGTGTCTTCTTTGGTGCATTTGAATGTCATTGGCCTCTTCTCCAAAGGGTCTCCTCCTCCATTGTCCCTTCCACGTCGAGGTGTGAAGCTGCAGCTGTAACCTGAAACCTCTCTGTCCTAGCTGTCCCTCACATTCCAATGCACTCAATGTAGATACAGTGGCTTTATGCCCCAATGAGTGAACCCAACAAAGCATACATCGTTTAAGTCTTCATCTTATAACTAGTACACTTTAATTACAACAACCCATCATTAATGATCCCCGTTCATCACCCTTCATCATAAGATCTAAGACAGTTCATGTGGTTCAATTCTCAAGACATTTGCCTCAGTCGGCTGCCTTACATTAAGTTGTTCATTTATTACCTGACAGGAGAAAAAACTCCCAAAAAACCCTCTTTGGGGAAAAAATTGGAAGAAATCCATAAAGAACGGCAATTGGCATCCGTCCCCAGGTTTTAACATCACATTGTGACAGAATGTTAATGTGTACAGTGTTTATATGATTTAAAAGACTATAAACTGTGTTTGATTCACATTGTATTCACTTCATCTAACATGTCAATGTAATAACTAATCTAACATCACACAAACTACAATTCTATCACTAAACATCATTACACGTACTACAAATTCTATGACTAGACATTCACTTCTACTTAAAACCCCAACATCATCAATGGAATGGTATTTGTTATAGTTTTATGGGTTGGATTGATTGTGAAGCAAATAGCCATAAAATAAAGTTCAGGGTGCCGATCAATCAATACAACACACACAGGGGTTACACAAGCAAAGAGGATAGGAAGAGTTAAAGGGTGGCAGAAGTGTCATGCTACTAACAAAGATAAGGAGTTTTAATGCCGTTATCAGCATTTTTGTCATTATAGACTGGCGCAGATTACATTTTTTTGAACACGTAGAGCCAAAACAATGTCAATGAACTTGTCTGAAATGTTCCATCACAAATGGCCTTACATTCTCTTTCATTCAAATGTTTATGCCCACTGAGCCCTGCATGTTTGCATAGATTTTAGCTACGACTCAAAAGTCCTACTCATAGTCAATAGTATCATCAACCGATTTTGTAAATGTGATATTACACCACCTTCAATATTGCATGAAGGGTTTATGCTGTGACATTTGAATGCAAATAAAACATTTTTATGATGTCTTGTTTGTTAAAGGACACAAAGGAAACAATCAATGCACAACCTCTAATGAGGTAAAGTCACGTCCTGGAGCCTGTCAAGGACCCCCAAACAAAAACAATGGCACGACACAACCTGCCCTGGTTCGTTTGTTCTTTTCACCTCTCCTTCCACATTCTCCCCCAGGGAGAGAAATATCAGTCGAACCAATCCCCCCCCAACTCCTCCAGTCTGCTGCTGCCGTGTGGAGGGCCCCTAAAAGGAGCCGAGGGCCCCCGCCGCTGTCGTGCAGCAGCAGCACCACTCGCAGTCGAGCAGCGGGACTCCAGGCACCCGCTCCCCCAGCTGCTGACGTCAGCTGGCAGCCTGGGCTGTGCTCGCCGCTCCGGACATAGCGCCGAGGAAAAATGCTGCTCTCCGTACCGCCAAGGGCAGGGATCAACCCATACAACGGCTACAACAGCAGAAACAGCAAAAAGGTAAACGTGCTCGCTATGGCCTCTTATCCATCGCCTTTTATTCTTCTTTCTTTTTCTCGCCGCGCAGAGCAACGCGCCCGCGACATTAAACCAAAAAAAAAGAAAAAAAGACGAGGGCTTGTGACAGTGAGCTGCAGTGTCCTTGAAAAGCGAAGCGGACTGCATTTAACTTCGGACTTGGCGGAGTGGGAGCGCAGTTTATTGGGGGTGGGGGGGCTGGAGGGGGCCGCCGTGCTCCATCGGTCCGCGTTGGATGGGTCGTTCCGTGCCGCTCGCTGCTGTCATGTTGGACGCCCGGAGGTTTTGAAAAAAATAAATAAATGGTTAGTGCGTGTGTACTGAGGATGTCGACGTCGCTCCGCTCACTCAATTTAACAAGAACAAACTAAAAGAAGTCAACGGTGGAAAGCAACTTTTCTTTATGTGTGAGTCCGCGTCGGGACGGCGCGTCGGAGCACGGACGCGTCCGTGGTCTTGAGAGGGGGGGGACATGTTACGAAATGGATTCTGCCCCTTCCTCCGGACACTCGTATCTTCTGTTAAATCAGCTCTTCATTGTCTCGGCGTAAGTTGGCAAAGTTTTCTTTTTGCCCCCCTTCGTTTCCCATCGGAAAGCGGAATATGCCCCACCCCTTTAAAACTCTCATTCTGACCGCATTCCCAGAATTACGCTCATGTTGACATCGACACTGAAGTAAACCAATAGGCTATATGTGAGCAAGATATCTATGCAGAATACTTAACAGCTCGTGCGTATCTTGTGTCTTCTCTCTATGGACCACAATGGCTTAGAAGTGATGATACAAGCTCTTTCATTCTACATAGCGGCATTGTGTTGTGATTCCACATCCCCTGGATTCACAGTACCCCCCCCCCCCCCCCCCCTCTGTCCTTCTGCCCTTTGCTGCTTTTCTCAATCTGGGAGTCTGTGAGCTCATGAACTCTAAATGGCATTTGGAAAATGCATATGGGCATATTGTCTTTCTGTGATCTTGGGAAACGCCGGCGTGCTCATCCCTCCCAGATCTGATGTCGACACGGTTTGGATGGTTTGTTCTGCACTCACTGCACAACAGATACAAAATGTGCAATTTGTTTGATAAACTCCCATTGCATGTGTACTGAATAGGTCACGTAGAGTTCTTTACTTGAGGTTGAGCCTGTTGCCATGAGGATTGTTAGTGTATAATATAAAAGGGGCCATTGTCCAGGCAACCATTCGATATCGCCAATGTCTTAAATTACTCTGTTAAATGAGCTGTCCTCATTCCAACCATCAATAACTAACCCTTACCCTTATCATAATTATTTTCGTAATTGTTTGGGAGAATAATCCATAACTTGACCATAACCATAATAACATTCTGAAAATATTTTCATCATAGACTATTCATTCCAGTCTTTTTTAAGCAAACTTGAAAACATAACCTGGTTCCAGAAAATAATCTGCATGAGTCAGTAATTATTATAATTTAACAATTGTTAGCTGCAGCTTTGGTTTGCTCATTGCTTTTACATTTATTTCAGAAGTTGGGTGAATTAAAAGAAAGGTATGACATTTTACAAAATAAATATATGTAAAAATATTTGTATATTCTTTTTAATATAATATAAATATGTAATGAAATAAGATGGCCTTTATGAATGAAAGGTTGAATGTTACAGTACTTTGAAAAGACGTATATATGTATGTATGTAATGTATTCACAGAGGGTAATGGATAGAGGGTGTTGTGTGGTGTAAACATTGTGATGCACTTTGAAGGACATTTGTGAATTTGGACTATGTAAAAACCCAACCATAAATGTTATGAGTGCCAAATGAAGCATGGAAAAAGGCATTAAATAGAGAATGTAAAAGTAGGTGCTCCTCCAGTGGTTTTAATACTTCTCTATTTTGGATCGAGGGTTCACAGCGAGGTCAAGCTCCTGTGTTGTGATTCCCAACATTTCCTCCCCACACATCCAGCTCCTCGTTCTTATCGTCCCCTGCTCACATTCTGCCATACCTAGCTGCACGAGTACACAAAATAAAGAGGCGATCACAAAATAAACACGCCGATCAGTGAGAAAGTCTCTCTTTGTGTACCGGCGGTGGATACCGAGGCGTTTGGTTTCTGTTGTGCTTAACGCCTGCTGCTCCTCCCCAGACTCAGCTTCTCATTTCCTCCCTCCAATAAATAGAATTAATGTCCACAGAATCAAATTTGGCCTGTTTCCGTCTAAAGCTTCCTGGATGAAAAAATAACAAGAGGGTTGTCGCTTCTCAAGGTATCGCACATGCTTTTTAAAATTGTAATTCTTCCAGTTCCCATGGTTGGGTGGGCCTTTTCAATGTCCTCTTGATGCTTCAACACAACACAACTAGACTAGATATGAAGAGATTTAAAAGAAACACATTAACTGGAGAAGTTAAAGGGTTAACATTAAAGGCTTTCATTAAAAAAAAATTGAAAATTATTTTACAATTTCAATTTCACAAGCTACAAGGTCCCCTCCGTGTTTGCCGCATGTAGTTAACTTCATTGAAATGTCTCTTTGACAACACTTTCACAAAAATATTGCACAACTCCATCTCTGCCAAGCAAATAGCTAATAATGCTCCTGTGCTCGTTGCATTTATATAATTTAGGTAAAATGCATATTTGTAGACATAATAAAAAATAAAACATTTCTAGTAAATGCGCCTCACTACAAAAACAGTCTAATTCTGAAATGATAAGCCTTCAGAGAGGTGTCAGTAACTAAAGCACATCAATAAAGGGTTTCAGGCCAAGAGCTTCCAGCGACCAGAGGCAGCAGCGTATGATTCATTTTTATTTTTCAAATCATTCCATCTTCTTTTACAGTCTGAAGGTGTGCGTTTAAAAATGCCCACAAATCTGCAATGAATAGAGTACTACGGTTTCTGTCTGTCACATTAAATGCCTGGCGTTTTGATGACTTCTTCTGCACCTCATCTTTGCGGACTTGTAACTCACTGTCTGAATTTTAAAAAATGCTTCCCAAAAAAAAGCTTAACATTTTGAAGAATTGTTTTTATCTCCTGACATAGAAAGACAAGCAATCCACATTTAAATTGCATTTAAAAATAAATCCATCCCATGTATTACTTTCATTAGCAAAAGTTAAATTTATATTTTTCTACAAGAATCTAGACTTTATGTAGTGATGTAGAGAGCAATATTTATTTCTTTAGTTACTGTGTGATCTATTTGAACATTCCATTAGCTTCAGTTTTAACTTGAATACATTACCAAGACATTTAATGCACTTAATATTTGACATCACATCTCCACCAAATAAGATGAAAACTGTATTTTGATTAACATGTGTTTCAACACCTAAAAAGTAAGATGTTAAATCGCTACGTAACGTTTTATGCTATCCAGTACGGATTTAACCTTCATGAAAAAAATGAATGTGTAATAAATATGTTTGTCATAACATTTTGAAACCCCCTGTTTATAATATACTTTGTAGTAGTGGGTAAATATCCAGTACTGGTCAGTCTGAAATGCAGGATAATCTTGCTTTAAGAAAAATGCTGTTCATAAAAGGCATTGAACTCATGTATAGATACTTGTAACAACTCACAACAGGAAATACACAACACAAGTTGCTGTCTACAGGGCCCCTTTTCTCTCATTTGTGTGTATTAAACCAGCTGTTGTGCTGCAGTGACTCTGTCCTCAGTGAACTCTCCTGTACAGTCCTCCCTTGTCCCTGGCGCTCTGCCAGTTTCATGTTTATCCATCTCTTTGTTTAATTTGTCAGATGTTTCGGATTGGCCTGTGCGCGCCAGCCGCATGCACCGGCCAAGGTGAACAGGTAAAGAGCGAGTCAGAGTCCTTGGAGAAAGCGCAGCTGTCAGAAATCCGATGCCAAGTTCTGCAGTGATGCCAGACACTCCGTGTGCCGCACATTCTGTTAGAACCCGAGCTGAGCAGAGGGACGGTGTTTGCAGGTATCCGTTTCCCAGCTCCCCCGGCTTTGGCTACCTGACCCGGCTTTAAAGCATGCGCGTGCACGGTGCAAGTGCACGTGCACGCGCATCGACGTGCGATCAACCACATTAAGAGACAGCCGGGTTGAGGATTAAAAGGTGCCTGGGAAAAGACAAAGGGGAAATGGGAGTGTTGCAGACGGAAAGGAAGGAGGATTCGGGAGCGAGTCTAGACGTGAGTTGGGTGTCCCTGTCACCTGGTTGGAATGCAGAGCTCCTTGTTCAGATGGCGGTGTGATAAGATCAGGAACCAGAGGATTACCTCCCAACCAGACCCACGGTCCCCACCTCACCCTCGGCTAAAATATAAAGACTGTTTTCCATTTTCCCACAGTATGGTATTTAGTAGTGGGACAGAAAGAGAAAAAAATATTATTTTTTGCTCCAACAATGTTTGTGAAGCATCAAACTAGTATTTGTCCCGTGGCTCATGTTCCTGGTCAGTCCTAAAGTGGAGCCGTTGCAGAGCAGCAGCCCAGCGGCGTAACTCTACACAAGCCGGAAGCTGCGCCCTCGTTCAGCCAGGCTATAAATCTGTGCATTAGGGTGTCAGCTGGTCAGGCAGCCAATGTCTCTTTCCCGCCTGAGGAGAAGATATGCAGCCAGGACACGGGACGGCGAGCAGACCCCCCCCCCACCCCAACATCCAGGAAATCAATGGAATTCTGTGGGTCAAACTGGGGTCGAGTGGAGGAGCCCCCCCACAGGGAGGCACGCAGATAAAAACAAGAGGTGGAGACGCAAAAGACGAACAGATTTGTGCAGAGATGCAGTAGCAGGCGTTTAATGTGGTCATATGTATGAGTTACTCTTCATCTTATTTTAACTTAACACAAGATGAAGACCAATTTTTGATGCATTGAGAGATGAACGTGGTGTATTTGAGAAAGACTCTTTCTGGCAGCTTCAGATTGTTGATGTAAGTTGACATCAAAGTAGAGGAAGTTTTATTTATAGATGTGTTCCTGATTCTTATCTAAAGTCTGGTCCTAAAAATATCTACTCAGATTTTGTTAGAGAGTTGGAGTGAAATCAAACAAATTAAAACTTATACATTGTCTCTTGAGGTTTTGGTTTCAAATGATGCAGTGGTATGAAATACCTGATTGTAATACTGTGACCATCTACTGACATCAAAAAGTCCTTAATCACTTGACGTTAGAATATAGAATTAATGGAACTAATTTCGATTTATGTTTAAAATGGATTTCTGAGGTTAGTGAATGTTTGATTAATGATCCACACATCTGGTAAATAGGCTCAACGGATTGGATTAGTGCTTCAATCATTAGTGGTTTATTAGATCTGTCATAAGTCATTTATTTTGCAAAGATGCCTACATATCCCTCTTTCTATTTTTACCTAATGTAAGGATTTGCAAATGAAATATCTTTTGGATTGTGAGCTGTAACTCTCAATGTCGTCCAAGATCATCTTGCTCTCTCAGCACCTGCTAATTCAATAATTATAGATAAATTAAAACATGTATGTTTTAGCATAGGACTTTGACATGCAAATCACATGCATACGGACATGGAAATAGCCTGACCTTTAATAACAATCCAGCAGGACCATTTCACATTGTTATACTGGCTAGTTCATTCTGGTAATTCTATATTAATTTTCATAAGCAGTTTAAAGGTGATAAATGATATATTTTGACTCATGATATGCAGATCAATGAACCACTCCACAGCAGTACGCTGAAAGCGCAATGTGTTGTGCCTGTTTTTTGTGTGTGGTGGCCTCCTGGTGACTTAAAGGGTCCTGTTGCGATTGTGTGCTCATGGTTGAGTCTGGAGCTTGATTGGAACTTGGCACTCTGGTAGAGAGAGTGTGTGAAAGAGGTTACAGGTCTCTGCTTACTGCTCTCATTCACAAATTAGCTTTCAAAAATGTCCTCATCGTGTGACAAGACAGATAAACTCTTACTGGCAGCTTTGTGAGGTCTTTGTATTTTTTCCATTGGCCTTGACAGAGATGGTGTTTTATTTATCTTTAAAATTCACAGTACATTCACGTATACAAGATAATGCAGCTCAATTCACTGTCCAAAGGGGCTGGATTTTGTTGCTGCAGTTTGTTGTTTCCATCCATCCATCCGGTTGTTGTACATGCGCAAACATTTCTGGTTTCTTCAGCAGTAGAGGGAGAGCGGATTATCTTCAGAGCAACGCGCCTTTTGTTGGAGGCTGCTGGCGTCTAATTAGGGTGATTGGTACACATTGGTGGTCCTGGTGTGACCTTGACTTCCTGCTGGGCTTTTTCCAAACACCACCAATCTGCTCAGTGACCCTCTCCTCTCGCCTGAAATCCCCCCATTGTCCTCTTCTGTCCTCTGTCCAGTCGCTCTCTCAAATGAGACGTCCCACCCTCATGGCAATACGGATATATTTATTCATATTCCTTCATATGCAACACACATGGAAACATTTGACTGTTAATGTGATTTAACTCTACTTCAACAGATATTATTGCTAGTTCTGGCAAGCCTGATCTGCACTGCAAGTGTTGCTATTTATTGCCTCAGTCCTTTTTGGAATTGGGCCAGTAGATCTAATCCTGGAAAGATACATTTACCTTTATTCCAATAAGAAAATACTCCTCTGCATGATTACACAAGTTTTTGTTTGATTTATCCAAAGACAGCCACAGTCCCATGGGGGGGGGTTGGGGGGTTGTTGCCCAACAGCTTTTCATGTTCTGATGAAATAGTTCACGAATAGTACTCATTAGTCCTCTTTGGCGGCTAAAACAAAACCAAAAATCAAGGTGATTCTGTAGCAGTGAAAGTTGATATCAGATCATGACAGATTGTTGCACACCAATCAACAGTGGTACCGTAAGTGAGCCAGAGAGGCTCATTTCCATCTGCTGCCAGATGTTTTAAGGCAGCCTAAAATAACAAAATCTCAAAAGGAAATTATATTAAAATTCATAGACAAACGGACAACGTTTAGACAAAACCAATACACCGCAAAAGAAAAGAGTACGACAATAGTAATGCGTCTGGCAGGACAAACCCACTTACAGTTCCAGGACATATACAGTATAACACTGAAGCACATAACATGTACAGAGAAACAAATGCACACAAAGGTGAATAAAGTTGTAATCGGCTTTTTGTCACAAACATCAATGGACTTTGTATGTTATCTGGACAGAACTGACCGCTGTCCTCTCGTGCTTATCATGGTCATGTTAGCATTTAACTTTGGATAATGTTTGAGAGGGAAATGGCAGAAGGACACTATTGAACTTGTGGCTTCTGCCTTTACGAGGATTGAAATCTGAGCGTGATCAAATTCATTTGTAAATACCAACTTTCAGAAGTATTTATAGTATCAAACTTCACATCCAGTCTCTTTACCACACTGACGAAATGTTAGTTTTACATTTTACGAGCTTCGGTTTTGAATCTCACCGCAAGATTTCTTTGTGGTTCCAAAAGTAAAAAATAAGTTACTCAACACAGGGAAAGCAGAAGAGGCCCCTTTTCCCGATATGGAGTAGGCAAGCAAGAGGCCCCACATTCCCCTGCGGAAGCACTATTGTTAAGTGTTGACATGAGGCCTGTATGATCTTATTTTTTTTTTTTGCAGCTCCCAAAGACTCACCCGTCTCGTGCAGGACTACTTTCTACGTTTCTGCACAGACGCTTTTCCAAAGCTGTGTTTATTCAAATGTTGGTGCTGAAGAGTCGTAGTTATTTTCAGAAGGACTTCTTTAGTTTGTTCATGCACACTCAAACTAATGCGGCTTGTTTCCTTTTGCAGCAGACCTATGTGTCCTCCGGCCACCAGATGGCGCCCCCAAGTCCCAACAACAATAGTAGCAGCAACAGCAGTGGGGGAGGGGAACAGTTGAGTAAAACTAACCTGTACATCCGCGGCCTCCATCCTGGAACCACAGACCAAGACCTGGTCAAGCTCTGCCAACCGTGAGTTATTTTACATTAAAATGATTGAAATTGTTACCCGGAAAAGTTTCATTAACATCACACAGCGTGCTGCAGGTTGAGCCACAGAGGAACTCTACTGTAAATGATCCCTTATTGTTGTATTATTGTTACGTTTTGGTCAACCACAACTGGAAAAAAATTTCCAAAGTTATCTTTGACGCAAAATTGTAGAAAGAGTCATATATAAACTTGGGCTCTAGTGAGCAGATTCTGTCTGTTGCTGTTCAGAGGACGCGATTCATCTGTTGGACACATTAAATTGTTTAAAGACATAATTTGATTTTAAGAAAAAATGAACAGAAAAAAACTGTTTTTGCAGAATGTAGAAAAAATGAGTTTCTTAAAAAGGATGCAGACATACCAGAGCTGAAGTCAGTTTGATTCAATCAATCCCGAGAAATTGACAAAAAAAAATGGTAGACCCTTAGAGGGAATTAAAGGAAAGAGAGAACGGATGCAGCGAGTGGAGAAAAGGCTGGGGGAGAGAAGGAGGGAAGGGGCGAGAGAAGGGTACGCCATCTAGCCTCCTCATGTCCTGATCTAACCTCTCAGATGTACAAAGTGTGTCGGCCTTATGAGAACACGCGCACACACACGCACACACACACACACTGGTAAACCCAGTAATAAAGCAGACAAACTGGTTTCACCCGCTGCAGGTCACAGAAGGGATTTGCGAACGTTAGCCATACATCGGTCCTTTCCACTGGTCATTCACAGCACCGACACGCCTCGCTGAACAAGCACTGGCCGTAGCTCACGGCACCAACGCCACGGCCCTTCTCTCCGTTTTGTTTTGTAATTTTCCAGGTTGGCCGCGCCAAACCTCCATATGAAAGCCTCAGAAACGTCAAATCCACGGAGCAAATATAAATGGCTCGTTGTCTGATAATCCTGTTAATATCCGAGTGTACACACACATCATCGAAGCTGGAACAATCAAAGAAAATTTGAACTCTGCGGTTGGTATGTGACCCCCCCTCAGCGCTTTCAGAGTAAAAGCAGGGGATCGACAGAGAAGTCATTGTGTGGTTGAGAGTGAGGAGGAGAGGGTTTTAGGGGTCGGTGGGAAGGCTTCCTCTAGGAGATGTGGGTCAGAGCTGTGCTTTTAAGTCTCTGTGGCCGACAGCGGGGCGGTGGGCTGCTGTTCTGCTGCAGAGGGACTGAGGCCACATAGTCGCTGCCATCAGACCGTTTAATGTGTTTTTGTTTTTCCTCCTGGGGTTTCTATTAGGTGAAACATGAAACACCGCTTCTGTTTTTCTTTTTCATGCTTCTAATGTGTAAAACTTATTAATATGACCAAGACAAAAAAAAACATGGTAACAATGACAAATTGTTATGGCAAAAAAACGTTGTTTGTGCTTTGCCGTTCTTCGTAGAATTTTATTAAAGATATATTTTGCATTTTTTACTTTATTTGAAATTGGAAAGCGTGTAAATGGGGGCAGAAGAAGACATGCAAAGAGGTGTTCCCTTCTTTGTTTGTCTTTTATTTCTTTACCATCAACGTACATTAAGTGATTACAATTAAAAACCTTTCAGATGAGTGCTCTCTGAAGCTTAATACCAGCTAAAAGATTTCTGAAATGCACTGCTAGCAAAACCAGTGTGGTTCAGGTAAGTTTCACATATTACATGCCTAATAGTATTTGAGAGGAAAGTATTTTCATATGGTTAAACAGTACATTTAGCAATGCATATACATCTACATTTGGGTTCTAGAAACTCAGATAGCTGATCAAAGGAATGTGTTAAATCACATGAAGCTTGTATATATAAACATAGTTTATGGAAAGGTCATCTGTCTGTGTGGCAGCCGATGATGAATTATTCATTTTTGTCCTTTTTAATGTATCCGTCCTGATGTAACAGGGAGCTGCAGGAATGAATCCTAAAAGGGAAATTGTAAGTTGGGAAAAAGCTCTCTGTTTCAGGCTATACAAAATCTCTCAGTAAATGTTTTTTTTTCCTAAGAACATGCATTATCTAAATGTATGTATGAGGGGACAAGACCTTTAACTAGTGAAGACTGGTGTCATTCGTGACACAGGTTTCATGACTGAGTCATCTGGGCAGATGTGCGCTGAAACTTGGCTGGTGTGTAGGACCCAGCGATCTGAGGGTGGAAAAACTAGGGAGCGAGGGAGCGGGATGTGGGCGGGGCGGGCGGGAGGCGAACGGATGGGTGAAGCATCATGTTACAGTGCGCATTCCGCCCAGACGCCATGTCGCCCAAAAAAGAGCAACTCACAGGCGAAAATCCAGCAGACAAGGTCCGTTCCATAGGGCTGATGCACCGGCTGATAACACTTAGCTTCTATTAGCCTCCACATATTGCACAGCACTGGTCATACACGGCACATAAGCATAAATGCCTTAATGCTTTAAATTGTCCTCCTCTTCTACAGTTCGCTTTTGTCATGTTTTTCTGTTGACAACCGCGGACTAAAATAATCCGTTATTGTGCCAGTGTGTCTGTATGTTAAATGGATCAAGCACACAGTCTGTTTTATTGAAAGTCAATTTTTCTAGTCAGACATTGCTAGTCACAACACTTTGAAGCTCTATTTGAGGCCCAATACCCGAGAGCTGGCAGAAAGGTGTTAGTTTGTGTGTAAAGACTGGCTCGGGCCAAATACTTTTAAAGCCCTGGGGTGCTGCCCGCTGTCTGTTTAAAACAACGCCAGGGAGGAGGGTTAGTGTACAATCCTTCGCCGACACCAGACTCAGACTGGGGTGGAGGCAGACAAAGATTTCTGTGACATTCGAGATCAAAAGGACATGATTGATCGCACGAAGGAATTCGTGTTTACACCTGCAGGAGTGTTCTCTGGGGTATGCGGAGGTATGAGCAGATTCCTCTTGCTGCCCTACAGTAACCTCCTCCGTCACTGACTGTTTTCTGTCTGTTCTTTCTGTCTGTCTGTCCGTCTCTGCAGGTATGGCAAGATTGTGTCCACGAAGGCCATCTTGGATAAAACCACCAACAAATGTAAAGGTGAGCTAAACTGTTCTTTTAACTATTTACTACTGGTTTTATTGAGAGATTTTTCATTACTTTTGTCTTCACTTACCCCGCTGGTATTGGAATGTTGTAAAAGTATTTCAACTTTTTGAGGAATGCACTTTCTGGATGAAGAGATATCTCATCCATAATGCAAACTATGAAGCTAACGCCCGCAAATGTTAGCTTACTTTAACTCCAAAGCTGGAAAACGGGCAAAACTTCTTACCTAGCTCCGTCAAAAGTTAAAAATAATCCAACCACCAGCACCTGAAAAGCTTCTAAGTCAAAATGTGATATTGCGTTTGTTTAGCTGTTGACTCCAAGCTAACTGTCGTCTGGGTTTAGCTTCATATTTAGAGGATATATAAGATTGTTTGGAGCATGTAATTACAAAAAAAACACCACCACAGCTGTTTTAATGCGTTTCATTCTCTCTATTTTACAGGATATGGCTTTGTGGACTTTGACAGTCCAGCAGCAGCACAGAAAGCTGTCACAGCCCTGAAGTCCAGTGGGGTCCAGGCTCAGATGGCCAAAGTAAGAATGAACCAGCTCTGTTGTGCTTGATTTACCCCCAAATTCCCCAGTAACCATTGGGTTAAAACTGTCCGGGCATTTGCATTGACTGCATTGATTTCCAAAGAGCCACGTGATAATATTTGAACACAGAGTCCTAGTCCCTTCGTGACCACACTTGACGTCTCTGTCACCTAAAAGGTAACCTGCAGTGGCCTGATTGGCAGCGGGTGTCCCGTTGGCAAGGATACAAGATTAACTCTTCATGAGGAGGCGTGTGTTCCTTGTGTGGACCTGTGCAACTTATTAACAGCCAATGGGAGGAAAGGAGCTGGGCTTGAGGCAGACCATATTTGTTAAAAGCAAAATGTCTCCCCCTTTTCATTTGATTAATTCACTACTCTTGCTGCTTTGTTAAGTCTTTTACTGCGCTCCCTTTCATTCTTCATTTTGTCTCCTCTTTCTTCATCGCCCTCCTCACCACCTTCTCTCTCCTCTCTCCTCACACCCTCTTCCCTGTGCATGTCGCTAACCTGCTCCCGTTGTACCGCTTGTTCTGAGGTCTTTGTCCAAGTGTCTGCAGTCAAAGCAACTCTTGTCGGCCCATTAAGCTGATCCCTCCGGCTCCCAGGCTCCCCATTGAGGGAACCCAGGGGAGGGTGCCACTACACCCACTGTCAATGGGACAGGCACAATGGGCCGGCATTGTCCATCGTCTGGGCCGAGGCCTGGGGCTGACTCCAGCACTTAATACACTCCAACAGCAGAGTCTCTGCCCCCCACCTTCCCGTGTCTTGCACCCAAACAGCCCCATTGCAATGTAACACCAGGGTCTCCCCAAGCCCAGCGCCGGAAAACTGTAACAGATCCACGCTGCCAGCTGACCTAAGCCGGTCCAGTGCAACTCAACCTGGAGTCCACACAATCCTACGTATCTCGATACCCGACAAGTGCAACTGGACACCAAGACTTGACTCACCCAGACAACACGGGCTCAGTCAGAGGTGTGGATAACCACTACAAAAACCTAAATAGACCCAGTTGCTTGAGAGTTGCGTTTGTTTAATACGCACATTGGTCTGGGGACGAGTCAGCTGTCAGAGGGTCAGGCGGTAACATCAGGTCAGAAAGAAACAAGAGTTAGTCTAAAATTAGCTTTATATCAGGCTCTCAAGTGCTTAGCTAGTTTATCCTGTTTGCACCTTCACCATGGCTGCAGGAGAGTGTTGTTCACAAACAGAATCAGCCACACCTCGCAGTGGCCCTCCTCAGAGTACGCTCAGTCCCCGAAAGTGCCACCCCAGACCTGAGGCTGCGGGCCCAGAGGAGTGCACACGGGGTGGGAGAGCCATGGCAGTGTTAAAAATAGATCCCTTCTTATTTCACAGCACCTCCCTGTTCTGACTCGGACGTCAGCCCAACACGCAGGCAGGGAAATACACAGAGACACACCTCAACAGACATGGCTCACCTAGTGCTGGGTATGGAAAAATAGAACAATGACACTTCAGGAAATCCCATTCAAATGAGAACTCGTGTGTACCGGCCGAGGTCCAGGGTAAATATAAGGATACAAAGAGTTTTCCTATGCCATGCAGCCTTTAACTCCATTTGTCTCATCTGGCTCATGACCTCCTGCACCGTGCCACTGTGTTACATAATGGACCTGTTGCCGCACCCAAAGTGACGACAATCACAGAAGATGTCATTGCGAGGCGGCACGCGGCGGTGACAATAGGCTGCTCATAAAGGCCGATCTTCATTTATGAAAGCTCTTTGACTTCCCCCCTGACAGTTTATTTCATGCACTAGTGACAAACTGGTTTGCAAAGCTATCGGATAGCAATGAGTGTTAGGAAGAAGGGACAAAATGGAAAATGATAGCAATGAAAGATTTTTTTGAAGAAAGAGAAGAGCGTGTTAATCAGCAGGCACTCATGTTTCCTCTTTTCGGTTGTCATCCTCCTCTTTCATTACCCAAACGGCTCAGGACGCCCATGACTTCCTATCTTGTCAGTTTCCTTCGGTAGAAAATATCAGTATTTTAAGCTCCTCATTCCTCTCCCTTATCCTCTTCCTCCACTCTGTTTTCCCTTCCCCTCTTTGTAGCCCAGCCTCTTTTCTCCTGGTTGCCAGGCTCCTGTTGCTCTCTGAACTTCATGGCTGACTTCCTGCCTGCTTCTGCACAGTCACGAAAGGATTAGCGTGTGGATTAGCCTGTGGGACAAAATGAGTCTCTGGATTATCTCTTTACTTGCTGCTATGCCGATCTCTTAATAAGGCAACATTCCTTCCAAATAGCTGACTTAATAATGATAATATCTGCGTGTGTCAGTATATGTATGTGTGTGTATATTTGAATAAATCAGACAGCTGTAGCTGAGGCAAAACAACAAGATTCCTTAATGTAAGTCCAAAAAAGATCTGCATTGATGGTTTCGTGTCCCACTTCCTGTACAGCAACAGGAGCAGGACCCCACCAACCTCTACATCTCCAACCTGCCAGTGTCTATGGATGAACAAGAGCTGGAGAGCATGCTCAAGTCCTTCGGACAGGTCATTTCCACACGCATCCTCCGAGATGCTAACGGGACCAGCCGCGGCGTGGGCTTTGCCAGGTTAGGCCTGATACGCTACCCAATGTGGTGAACAATGTGTGTCCCATCCCAATATGAAAAGCGCTCCACGAGCAGGATCCATTCGGACGTTTGACTGTATTTCAGAATGGAGTCCACAGAGAAGTGCGAGGCCATAATTCAGCATTTTAACGGCAAATTCATCAAGACTCCACCGGGAGTGCCTGGTGCGTGGAATCTTTGTTTGGTATTAAAGGAACCGGATATTGTTGTTGTTGGTTCCAGAGCTCAGTGTTTTTGTTCCCTGTTGTGACCTTTGCACTCCCTCTCTTGTTTGATCTGTTGCTTCCACAGTGCCCCCAGAGCCCTTATTATGTAAGTTTGCAGATGGAGGCCAGAAGAAGAGGCAGAACCAGGGGAAATACCTCCACAATGGAAGGCCCTGGGCTAGAGACGGCGATACGGTGAGACGGACACTTTTGCCTCATGGTTCTCAAAGGGAACTTCCTCTGTTCATATGTTACATTCTCCGCTTGGAGATTAAAGCAACCTTTTTAGCACAGGCTGCACCGGAGTCTGCACCACCTCACCGTCTCTCAATCCTGTGCATTGTTTTCCCAGGGAGGAATGACGCTAGCGTATGACCCCACGGCCTTACAAAATGGGTGAGTGGTGTGCACGGTCTGACAGAAAACAGTCCCAGCCCTGCAGTCAAACAAGAGATGTTCAAAATGTTTTAGAGTGCCGCCCTCTGCTGGCCATCGCAGGAACACAGCAACGTTGTTCATTTATTTTGAGAAATGCTTGTCGACATGGTGCGGCTGTCTTCAAGTTTGCTTTCCTCTCTTTGGTCGGTGTGTTCGGCAGCTTCTACCCCTCACCCTACAGTCTGGCTCCCAACCGAATGATCGCCCAGACTTCTCTCTCACCCTACATGCATTCTCCCGTCTCATCCTACCAGGTTGGTCATTCCATTGTGTTCTTAATTTAAAGGGCGACTTTTAAAATCTATCTTAATGTCGAAAACCTTTAACAGACAGGAGGTGAAGGAGCACCGTACACTGATAAAAATTCCTCAAGTTCTCTCTTTTCAAATTTGCATATCATGGGTTTCCCATGGAACTGTGCAAGCAACGGCAACTTGGTACAAGACGGTTTGATGACATGTTTCCTGATCTTTAGGTACACAGCCCGTCCTGGATGCACCATCAGTCATACCTCATGCAGCCAGCTGTGAGTAAACCTCCTTCACCACCTTCCCCTCCCCTCATACACCCAGTTAGCCACCCCTTGTACTTTTGGGCGGATGTGATTGCCAAAAATTAGAAAATGTTCTGCTCACCTGTGATGGATTTTAAACCTATTCCATCTGTGATAGTGATTTAGACTCTGCGACCCTCTTGTCTATGTTTTTATGCATCCACAGGGTGCAGTTCTTACCCCGACAATGGAGCACGCCATGTCCATTCAGCCCACGTCCATGATGGGACCTCTCGCCCAGCAGCTAAGTCACCTGTCCCTGGGCAGCACGGGCACAGTCAGTACCAATCTAACAAACACACTCACACACCATGCACAAGGCAGAAAACTGTACCCATAGCTACCTGTCCTGAAATTCACAACATCTATTATTCATGTCAAATACTACAATATACATTTCATTTCATTTTATTTTATTTTATTACTTGTGCACTGCTGTCTTGTTGTCTATTGTTACACTGTCTACTGTCACGCACCAACCGCCAAGTCAAATTCCTTGTATGTATGACATATTTTGGCAATAAATGTTTCCTGATTCCTGATTCCCGCCTTCCCTACAGTATATTCCGGCCAACACAACTATGCAGGGGACCTACATCCCCCAGTACACCCCAGTGCCTCCCTCCAGTGTCCCAGTAGAGGTATGAAACTAGCCTCCAACTCAGAGGCTCATATTCTTCATTTGCGTTATTACCGTATTTACCTAAATTTGACACATCCGTGTGCTTTAAAAAACTTCTGCTTTTAGCATGCCAGGTTTTATTAGTATGTATTTTAAGGCACATAGGAAGGGGAGGTGACTCTGCTAACTGACTGGTGTGTGTGTGTGTGTGTGTGTGTGTGCGTGTGCGTGCGTGCGTGCGTGCGTGCGTGCATGCGTGCGTGCGTGCGGTATTTTATGACAGGTAGATGCTGAAATACTGGCTGATGATTCCTGTAGTAAAAAATAAATACTGGAACAAAGAGTATACCTTTTATTTTTTCAGATGCCAGAAAGTGATGTGGTGTAAAAACTATTCAAGTTCTAATTTAGTTTGATGAAACAGCAAACATAGTATGAGGAAGAATCAAGCCGCTCCCGTCTTAAATAGAGAGACAGAATTTCTAACTTTCTCAGTCGGTAGATATTTGATTACATCATCCACAGTCTGTGCTCCCCAGTTCTGAGGCAGAGAGCTCTGCAGGAGGGGGGCTGATCCTGCAGGGAGGTCTGACTCATTTGTTGGCAGGTGGATCTCTGTGATAGTGGTGGGAGCCTACAGGATGAGCAAGACAGTGAAAGGGAAAAGAGGGCAAGTTTATGAATGAAAAAAGGGCACAAGAGTAAGCCAGAAAGTCTGGCTGTGATTGGACGGATGAGACCAGGTGGGACAAAACAAGAGAGAGTGGAGTGGAGAAAAGTGAAGGTTGTGAAGGTACAATTGCTTCAGTCTCATCAAAGTATCATGTTTGGCATTTATTTTACTATATAGGTCTTGCAGCACAGGACTTTATTTAAGAGACTTGTCAAATCCAGATGTTGCACGTTGTGTTCATCCACTCAACGTAACAACGTGTAATGCCTTTGAAACTGTGGGGAGGGAAGAAAAACATACAGGCGGTCTTCTTCTTTAGATCATGAATGAACATTTTTTTAATTGACACACAAAGTATTCTTATAATGTCCTTTTTTATTTTTAGGAGAATGGTGGTCAACAGCAACAGGTTGCTATGGAGACTGCGGAACACACAAACTACTCGTACCAACACACTAAGTGAAGCTAAGGTGGGACAGCGTGTCCTTTTTAATGTCCCAAATGTATCTGAGCATATAAACAAATGGATATTAAGATAACATGGATCGGTGTGTGTGTGATCACACATAAAGGCACAATTATTTGAAAAAAAAAACATTTTTTATTCATTGAAGAAATAGTCCAACAATTTGATTTAGTTTATTCACCTTCTTCCAGAGATTTTGTTTGGCTAGAGCCAGGCTACTTGTTGTATTATTTATATTTTAATGGCTGCAGGCTCCAGCTTAATACGGAACTGACAGTAACTTTGTAAAGTTGTCTCCTTATAAAGTAAATATAGTTAAATCTCCTTATCTCAAGATGGGACGCCAATTCACTTAAAACTACTACTTATTTAAACTGACCATAGCTTATTTATTGTAGGAGCCAGCAGTGCAAAACCTAAACAAGTACAACGTAACCCAGCCTATTGACAAAATGTACCTAATTGGGTGGTAAAAAATGAGAAAATCTCAATCAAAGGTAATTTATCGATTCTCTGTTTTTTTTCGAGAATGGTCTGCTGTTTGCAAAGCAACATTACGGCTGTGGTGTGAACGCATGATCCAGTGCTGAGATGTGTGTGTTTTGCAGCTCCCAGCAGGGTGGGGCAGAGGGCACGAGTGGAATCCAACCAAACAGGATTCAGCTAAACTGTGCTCCATACGTCACCAAGCACCCAGACTTGAACATGGATAACAAAAGGAACGTGTGCGTGTGTGTGTGTGTGTGTGTGTGTGTGTGTCTGTCTGTCTTTTTTCTTTTCTCTTTAAGAAAAACACTTATGTCATTGGACTCTCCCGCTCACATCCTCAAGAGTGGATCAACCAAAGATAGGAGTCTTCTTCACAGAAGCTTTGATCTATTTTGATATTTGAAAAAAGGAACATAACAGAAAGTTTAAAATAAGTCTAAAAATAAAAACTTAAGAGAGGAGGAAAGACACAGAGCATTATTTTTGGTGCACGTTATCTATCAAATTCTTATTTTTAACAGAGAAAAAGCATTCTGAACATTTCAGGATGATTCAAAGAAGAGTTGAAACACAATGTGTCTTTTATTTTTTTGTAAAATATGCAAATGTTTATTTTTATTTCCTGATGTCTGTTGTCAACGTTCTATTTGCAGCAGCGGAGGAATCAATTTGTACAGATTCAAGAATCTAAAAAAACTCTTGCTGATCTGATGTCCGCGACAAACCGTTTAAAGCTACTTCTTAAGTCTAACTTCTTCCATAAGTGAACAAAAGACAATCAATTATTTGTACTTACTAACGTGTACTTAATTATAATATTTCTTTCAATTGATAATTTTTAGATCATTGAAACAAACATTAATACAAAAAACGTTATTACTGTAGTCTATAAAGACAGTCAAAAGCAGCTTTGATGACTTTCAATTCACTTCCTGTCCTGTATGCAAACATTGAGAGACACCTGTTCATACTTAAAGTCGTCCTGTTTTGTTAGAATGTAACTCCATGTTACTTCTGTGTCCTAAGAAGTGGTTTTAAGCGGTTTTGCTTTGGCAATCCTTCAGGAATCATTAAATGTGTCCTGTGTTGAAGGGATGAAATGAACTCTTCTCAGATCTGAGCAGTTAGATGAACGATTATGCGTACAAAGAGCAATGCAGTTACTAAATTAAGAAAAGGCTTAGAAAAAGCCACGAGGGGAAATGAAGACCAACACGATCCCTGAGAATAACTAGTTTGGAGAGAGCTGTCGTTCTTTTTTCAATGCTGCTGTTGTCACCTGAGTTTTTCTCTGTCAGAGATTTTTAGTTTGTAGAAAGTTTAACGTTTCTTTTTTCCATTTGTCTGTCACTTGAATTCTGTTTGCGCTAATTTGCCTTGTTTTTGATGAATTTATCTTTTGAAGTAGATTAGATTTTAGCTGTAGACTTTAGCTTTTTACAGAGAGTAGACGTTAGTTGTTGTTTTTTCTCTGCGTAGGGATTGATGCTGTTTTCTTGTGCACTTCACTTTTTCTCTCATTTTGTTTTCACTCAAATTTCCGTTCCAAACCTTGTGTCGTGTGTCCTTGCGTTGTGTCGGGCCTGTAGAATGCCTTCAGAGCACAGGGTCGAACCAAACAAAGACTTCACATAGTGCTGATCCAAAAGATTCATACTGATGCTGCATCAGCGCCGATGCTCAAAGAGGCTCCGTGCACACAAGCCCCGGATATGTTTGACTTTATCAAGTGTAGCTCATGTCACAGTGCATCCAAATATGTTGAACTTAGAAAAACTGTAGATATGTAGATAATAGAAATTAATGGTTTTACAAAGGACTGCTCACTAGCCCATGGAAGTGCCATTAAAGACTATTCTTACAGCCTTTGGTGAAACAGCCTGAAGGAATTTAGGAGTGATCCAGAATTCTGCAAAAACAAGTTTTAGCTAAGCCTTAATTTTCTTCTCTTGATGAACTGCCTGAACTCTCATAGGAGTGACACTAAGTTGTAAATACTACACGGAAACAAGCTTGTTTGAATGCCATTGAGTTAGTCGTCACATCAGTCGAGTTAGCTGTGGGGTTACGCGGAGCTTTTCTTCCCGCTCTTCAACCATCCACATTTGAGTCCAGCAATAAACACATTGTGTAGACGTCTTTCTTAAGGCTCGCAGTTGATTGTTCTGTTTCCAACTTTTTCGCTGTGTTGTTTATTTCCACAACCAAAGACGTTGAAGCCAACCATCTTTAAGCTCTTGGCTTAAGCTGCTCTCATTTGTGGACGATCATGTGTTGCGTGTAGCTGGATGAAAAGCCCTTTTTTCTGCTCCTGACAGTAAACAGGGCTAACATCACAATAAGGGGGGGGGGGGGGGGGTGACGTGCACACAATATTCCATTAAGACCAAAGTCTAAGGTTTTGTGAGGACTTTGCGACTACTCTATCCCTCATATAGTAAAGTACATGTAAATGATCTGGTTTTGTTGACATGAGTTGATTAAGCTGAGTTTTGGTGCGCATGTAAACTAATTATGGACCTTATTGGCCGACACACAGGAGATCTCCAGAGCTTTTACGACGGTGACAGTTTTCAGACACGAGAGCTCATTTTGTAAATAGTCTTTTTCTTCCACTTTCTTGTTTGTTTCTTTGTGTGTGTTTTTTTTTTTTTTTAATGATTCATAGCCTGTCTAGATAACACAGTGACCTGCAAGGTCTTCACATTCAGTGCCCCATGAAGGAAATGTCATGGATGTTGTTTATATGTTCAGAGAAATGATATTCCATGTATTAGCCATCACTTTAATACAAAATACCGGATTTTGAAACTATGAAATGACCACTTGTTACAATTACATGTTTATTTATTTTAATTTTTAATTGTTTTATAAAATTGTTAGAGGTAATATTAGAGAGAAGTCATGGTGCTCCAAAATAAATAAGAATCATGAAAATGATCGAACTGTACGTTACAGTTAAACTGTAGAAATACTGAGGTCAACGGTGTGCTCTACACACAATATTTGAAAATCAAAAAATCTTGTTGCACTTATTTTTAGTCTACACCGATTTGAAATGCTCTTTTTGTCCATATAATTTAGATTTGATGTCTTATTTCATAGCTTCAAAATGTTTTGCTGCTAAAACAGGATTTCCAAACAGGTGGTTTGATGTTGCCCAATCAGAATTCTCCAAATGTCCAATAATCCAATAATTTGGTTGATACACAGTATCCCCATTGTTGTTTTTCAGAATAACCTCATGGTTTTGATTCTATTTTACTTTTTAAGTTGTATTTGACTTAAATAAATGTTGTCTTATGGTGACAATTATTTCAATACAAATACAATTCAGAATAAAATAAAAAGTTTGTGTGAAACTCCGACATCTTGAGAATTTGACGAGCTCATCTCACTCCCTGCTTGTAAACAGTTTTCTTATTTATACAAAAATTCATTTTGTACAGTTTTTTTTAAGAGAAGATAGGTTTTGATATTTGGTTATTTTGCAAAGCCACTTGGCTCCTTTTGTCTTCCTGTGCCAGAGTTGCTAAGTTTTCTGTAACTTTTTTTTATTTTTATTGATTGCGATAAGATTTTCTTTCTGCATTGGTTTTCTCTTTGAATTTGTCAATTTCCCTTTTTTTAAATAAAAACTTGTTTCTGTGATTTGGTTTTGTTTTTTAATTACAGTAGCCTACCTGTATTATGACATAAAAAATAATCAGAATTCAGAGAAAAGGCAGTAAAGGACTGTGCTATATGAGTAAATAGGCTCTTTACATTTTCTATATTTTTATTCAATTAATTTATCAGCAATACAGTAAAATGGCTGTATTGACAAAAGGTCAATATAACACTATTTAATCAATAATATTAATATCACAGCATTTGCTGCACAGCACGGCATTTTCATTTGGAAACCCAAATGTAAAAACTATGTCAGATCGATAGAAAGTGCAGGAAATATTAAGCTCTGACGTTGTAATATTATGCTATTATGTGCAGCTTTCCGTGCAACAAGAGGGCGATGCTGCACCAACATGGCGTAATGAACCTGGTGCTCACTCGGGCAGATGGCGGGCTACTGTAACAAAACGGGCTAAAAATAAGTCTGGTAAACTTGAAAGCTTTCTTGGAAAAATGTAAAAGAGAAAATGAACTGCTGCAAGATTCCAAAGACGACAATGACAGAAAAGAAGACATTTTTTTATTTTGATTTAATCGGAAAGCTAATGCTAGCCTGAAGGGGGATAGCGTTACAGGCACCAATATCTAAGTTTACAGCAATTAAAATTTAATAAATGTGGTAGACTGATATATTTTGATTAATAATAGAAGGTTTTCTTATTATTTATCAAAGAAAGTCTCCAACAGATGTAATGTTAACCTACTTCATGGAAATAAGGTGATTTTTTTGGCGAAATTTGCCGTTTCGAAATCAAAATAGGTCATCTGTTAGTTGTGTAGTTCCGAAGCTTTTGTTATCGGCGGGGGTCAATTGGCTGGCCAGCGTTTCTGAGATTGCAGTGGAACAAGGACAAAGATGTAAAGATCTTCGCAATAAAGCGTCTTTGATGTGACATGACGAGCTTTGGCCAATCAGCATTGAGACCTCTACAGCTTCTTTATTTTCGCCCCCCCTCCCGTTGTCACCTTTTTCACACCTTATGAGTTTGCAGATATTTAAAAGCACAGGTGCTGTTAAAGTTTGCCTTCGTACTGGTAAACTATGCAGCTTCCTAACTGAAGTAGTTGTGTTTGCACCAGACGTCTGATATGTTTTAAAAAAAAACCTTGATGGAAGCAGTGGATGTTGGCAAGTCACCCCTTTGTCCAGTTTTAAAGGAACATTGGAAATATTGTCTTGGGAAACCATAAAAGTTATTACACACCTTCATTGGTTATTGCACACATCTACTTTTCTACAAATAAAAAAGCCACCCAAATGTCCTGGAGCTATATATCCTTCAAAGTGTCATCACACTACGTCTGTAAACTCAGGCTAGAGGACAGTCTGGACGACAGTGTACTCACATTTACTGAGACAATGGACTTTGAGTACATTTCTTTAGCTGGGTGAAGGCTGCGAACCAGTGTTCACCAGTTCTGTGATACAGTGAATAGTGTTACAGAGGATTCAGGTTACTATAAACAGAACATGTTTGGAAGTGTGGTTTTTGTATTTGTCTTTTAATATACTCTTATCTGCACTATATTGAATTGTTAACTGTTAGTGGGTGTTTTATTGCACTGCTGTTGTAAATGAACCTATATTGAACCTGTTTGCCAATTTGTATGCATTATGTATAAAAAAACAGTGTGATTCCGTTATTTCAAAACAAAATTCAAACAGTTTGACCTAACAAAGATCCAAGATTAAATCTCTGGCATAGAGTAGGTTTTTCTTTATGACATTGCTTACCTGACCCACAGAAAATTACGATCTGTAAATCCTTTCATCATATTCACCACCTTTCATCATCTCACACATTTATTTATCTTCAGGTGTCACATATTTTATTAATTGCAGAATCCAGCGGTAAGAGCTAGTTGTTCTTAGAAAAACATATTACCATGCAAAGTATTCTGGTCCCTATATATAATTATTTTCTATCATATCCCAAAGGCCACATTAAAGTTACAATGGAAATTGCAATTGATATAATAATAATAATATGATTCTACACACACACACACACACTCCCTTTGTGGCTGGTGTTGCATCTTGAAAGTCTAAGTTGAAATCTTAAAGGTTTCACTCAATGTTTCCCCCAAGCTAGCAAAAAGGACTTCAAATATAATAGACACCCACAGTACATTTTCAAACGTGTCATCTACAATAATGTGCATTAAAAGCGAGTAAAAAACTACTCTATATAGCTTGTAAAACGCTTAATTGAACAAACTCAACTTAAAAGTGCAGCTTCTTTTGTTATTTGAATTATGAATAAACGTACAAACTGATCATAACATTTTTGATGTGCTGTCTACGTATGACTGTTTCATGGTGGATGGTGTGGTCACAGTAGACCCCAGAGCAATAAAACACCACATGAGCAGCCGGAGCACAGGGACTAAAGTGAGGTATCGGGCAGGTGCACGTCGGGACAAAGAGACAGAAGCAGCAGGATGCATGGACACGATTTCACACACGTTTCATCTATGGATTCTTGCTTCACTCGCGCCCTCCTCCCACGATCTGTAGCAGGAAGCTGAACAGGTAGATGATGTCCAGGTAGAGGCTGAGGGTGGCAAAAACATATTCCTCTGGACTCAGAGAGTAGCGCTTGTTCCCCAACAACAGCTGGGTGTCGAATGCTAGGAACTGTGGCGGAAAGTGAGACGGATGGACAAGGAGAGAAGATGAGTAGGGATACAAATTTAAAAAACTTAACTTAACTTACAATAATGAGGCTTTTCACACTTATTCTCACCAGAGTAAACATGATGGCCCCTAGCACAGCATAAGTGGCATGTAACCAAGGAACCTGTGGGGCCAAAAAAAAGCATTACAAAACACTGTTAAGAAGGATAACAGGATGCTAATTTAAGAAAAACCGAGCAGTGCTTTGCAAGATTATGTGAGGATAATCTCTTCATGTTAACGCACAGACACATATGCAGCCAGCAGGCCCTGCGGCTTTGACCTGCAGCCGGCGTTTAGCTCGTCAGAAATCACAGCTACGTCAGACGTCCCTTACAGAGGGGTGCGTCCACTTACATATCCAAAGGGGACGACAATGGAGAAGGTGATGGAACAGAGAAGCATGACCACGCACAGAGAAAACAGGACGCCTTGACAGGAAGTGACGTCGATCTGCGGCAGGTGTGAGAGAGAGAGAAAACGCACAATGGATTTATTCATGAGTTGTTTGACAGCAGTCGAAAGTCTGGTTGAAGCATTTTCTGCTCACTTTGCTCTGGAAGCTGAAGATGGTGACAGAAAGACACACCACGGCTGTGATTCCCAGACACAGAACCACGGATTTGGTGTTGTAAAAGCTGGAGGGAGAGAAGGAGTCTTTTATTCTGAAAAGGATGAGTGAAGCTCAATGTGAGCACACATTGTGCATTTACCTCGACACGAATCCCATCATGGAGGCCATGCTCAAAGTCTGGGGGGGAAAGTAAAGATTATTACCACAGTTATGTTGAGTCTGTGGGTTAAGGAGAGCATTTTGTGTTCTGTGATGAGGAAAAATACTCACAAAGAGAACCAACAAAATGATATTCCAAGGAAACTGCCTCCTGTTTGGGTAAAAAATAAAAGTATATTCATAAATACAAACACAACTTAATGAATATGTAAAATAAATATGTGGGTTGCCAGTTATGTTACCTCAGCTCTCCACAGCAGGACAGTGCGATGTAGGTGGCGAAGAAAACCAGACTGGCAGAAAAAGAGAAGATGATGATGAAGATTAGTAAAGTCCTAGAAAAGTCCGAGACTATTACCTGAAGTGTTTTGTCTTTTCACTCACTAAGACGCCATGTACAAGCCTGGGTGGGTCTGGATAAAAAACCTCACGGGTGCACTGTAGAGACAAAACATACATGCATTCAATTCAGATATTAATCAGCAAGTGGTGAAAACTACAACTTGTGTTATCAAAAGAGTTCTCTTACCAAAATGTGAAGAGAGCAACAATGGCCACTGTCACTAACAGCTGAACCATGAGGATGGAGTAGACCTGCAGGAAAACGTGCACAGTATCAGAGCAGTGGAGGAGTAACTGTGATCATGGCTTTGTGCCGGTGTCACTGGCTTCACGCATTTACCTTCCGGATGAAGGTCCGCCTGATGTTCTTGTCGTCAAACACAAACTGGGCCTCCATCTCCTCGTAGCCTGCAGAAAGAGGCGAGCGGGAGACATGGGAGGATACGTACGTGTGAAGTCACGACTTTCAAAGTGGAACAAGTGCAATTTTATTATGATTAATAATCAAGATTGCAAATGGAAATGAAACGACATATGTAATTGTAATAAAAGGAGATTACTTTGACTCAAACAGGTATAAAGTCCATGTAGTCGCTTTTACCTGCGGTCGCCTCCTGATAGCTCGGAGGCTCTTTATCATCACACACCTGATGAAAAGAGAAATACAGTTTGTAGGGTCATTACAATTTTTCAATCCGATGCAACGGTCTTCGTATTCACTGCACAGTTAAAAATACATTTGTGTACTCAGAGAGACCCACAAACCAGCTCAGTGCTAACTTTGCTTTCACCTTTTGTTTACATGAGACATTTAAGTCTATGACGCATTCAACGTCACTGTTATTGCGTCCAGACGACAATTTCCTATAACGCATTTGTCCACCAAACCGCCTGCATGTTTGATTAGTTCGAATGATTAGGATGGAGGTGATGGGCCTCCATTTTTTATTTAGGCAGCACAGATAGCACTATAGTGTACAGAGCCAAGATGGACCAATGCTCTTTATATGAGGTCTTTTGTTCACCTTACATCATTATGTTGTTGACGTTTTTTAAACTTTTAAGCCCAGCTCCCGTGTCCTTAAAATATATAACAGAAACAGGCAAATCTTATATCCACCACCCTGTATAATCTGTGCCTGCTATGAGCTCAATTTTGACCCCAAAAAAACAAATTTACATATTGAATTTGTCCCAATGTCATTGTTCTTTACAAACTACCACTAGATACTGTATATTTTATTACTAAGGTTAGTACAACTATAAGGCCAAAACGTTTCCAAACGTACCTTTACCTTCTTCATGATTTCTTTCCCTTTTAGACCTTTTAATTTGCTGTTGACGAGTAAAATAGTTTTCCTGTCTTTCAAATCCTGTCTTGTTTTCCTGTCTTGTTTTTGAGTGGTCCAAAGCACTGCGAGCTGCGGCCATAAAAGGTTGCTTGTACATTAGTTGTTGCTCTAAATGTGTCTGCAGTGTCCGGATTACACTGAAGCTTTATAGGCCTCCACGAGGATAATCCCTGTCTAACCCTGATCCCATGGCACCCCTATTCTGTCACTAGTGAGGTCGCTCCAGAAATGTCCAGGTAGTCCACGAGCATTGACGTGAAGCTGGACCGTACCACTGCCTTTGCTCAACAGGGGTGTCCTTTAGGTCTTCTTCTCAACAGTGTACCGGGACAGTTGAAGACTCAGCGGACATACCTGCGTTACATAACTATTTGTCTACACTTTTGGGGATAAAGATGATCTGCATATATTTATGATGCGTAAGAATATAACGTCAAAACAAACAAGCACTGACGCTTTTACGTATTAACATGTCGAGTGACAATATCATAATAATTTATGATGAATGACCTATTTGTGTTTAATGTGTTTATTTAACAGTGACCTCTTGAGCTTTCTGGGCGACATCCGTTACGTAAGTGTGTAACGCACATCAGACTAATGCGATTGAAGTTAAGAACATTACGCAGCTAGTAAGATTTGTCGGCATCTTTTAACTCCTCTTTTTAAGCGTTTAGAGGAAAGGTGATATTTCATGAAGCTTTTTGTCAGTGCAGATCATCGAGTGAGCCGTAAAGATCGACCACTGATCACATCCCATTGATGGACAGTAAAAATGAACGAAGACAAGTCTGCTCTGGAGCTCTATAGAGAATGTTTGGATGACAACTCTGATGATTTTGGCGCGCATGAAAGATGGGACACACGAGACTGGCAGCTAGAAGTGGCTACTAGCTAACGGTGCTAACGCAGCTAACTGCTAAAGAGTCGACCGAGCTCCGCTTCAATGACGACACTGTCGGCCACTTTCAGCTGTAACCGTATGGCCGTATGGGGACATTAGGTGTAGCTGCCCCACTACAGTAGGCCGGTGGTTTGCTTTGACGTTTGCTCCAATCCTCCGTCCATAAAACTGCTGCGCACGCTTCCCTCCTGTTGCCACTAGGTGGCACCAGCAGACCGGTGTTTGCTAGAGGAAGGACCCCCGCGACACACACGTAGTACGCATTGACAATTACGTCCATAACAAAACGACAAGATTCCTGTAAAAATGTACATTTGAAGATCTGCAATTCAATGACGGCTAATCAGACTCTATCTGCTGGTGTGATATAATCAAAGGCTCCTGATCGGCTGCTTAACGAATGGTGAGATTCTTTGAACTTTGACCCCGAGGTGTGCGGCTCCTTTGAGATGCACTTTGTAACACCACAGAGATGCTGACTCCTTGTTGTCACTACGCGTCTTGTCCGATAGTAGCTGTTACTATTGATGGACGGAATGGACCTTTGGTGTGTAAGAATAACCAAATGATGTTGTGTGCTCCTGTTGTTCACATCCCTTCCAGCAGGTGGCGTATGAGGACCTCGACACTTGGAAATGTCTGGAACACTGGTTCGGTCACAGCTCAAGCAGGATATTTTTTGCGTTGAAACGCTTTACTTGTTCTTCTTTTCCTACTGCATCATTGGAAATAAACGTTTGGCTGTTTTAAGTTGAAAGATGCCCGACAGGTTATTTGTATTTCTTGGCACGGAGGCATGGAGACGTGCTGTACTCTGCTATTGCTTAGAGTTTGTTTTACTGCCCGATAACCACCTGATGCAGTGGGGATTTATTGCTTTTACATTTACTGTTGGATATGTACCGCCTGATATTCATATGATGAGTCACATGTTCTCTTGAACTTTCTCCTTAACCGTAGTCAATAGGTTTACTAAGGAGCAAACGTATATCTCTGCATAAACCCCTGCTATTTGCTGTCAACAAGGAGTAAATGTATTTGTATGGTTTTGAATTAATTTAAGGCTTGATTACTGCTAAAAAGGTCTTTTTAAGTATAGATCTCAACTCTGACATCTGACTGACGTATACAGACCGTATCTGTTCACGTCGGTCCAAACAATGACTCAGCTTATTGTGTAGACTTTTGAAGGCTGCAGTTGCTCGTTATGGAAAATGTTCCCAAACATTTATACCGATGTGTTTTTCCGAGGCCTTCCAGCAGACTCTAGTGATAGCGGTGGTGCCGTCTTCTCATCGTGCTGTCTGGTACCTTTAATACTCAAATCCCAAATCAACATACAGTGCATAATGTATACCCTGATTAAGAGTCTTAAAAGTCGCAGTCTAGCTCGAAAGTCGTGCTGGAAAGTCCAATAATCACCCAGGTTTTTATTTATCAACAAAAGGCTGCACGTTCCTCTTTTAAAATGGCCCGGTACTTCTACCCATGGTGCCAGGTACACCATCAAGTCCACAGAACTGTCTCCCAAAACACTTTGGTCTTATCCACATTCCTCGCAGCATATTGCAGTGGACTTTAGATGTTCCTTGTGTTCTAGAGGGGAGTGCGGCCATGGAGTGCACACTGGTACCATCTCCATCAGGTCATGCTTGAGGTGTCCTCCAGGCACACAGGTTTTCTCTTAGTTCTCAGTCGCCACATTCCTTGGATGAAATGTCAGGCTTTCTTCCCCAGGCCACGCAGGTTTGCAGCTGTTCCATAAATTTACATAAATTCCATACAACGTTACGTTTTTGGGGAAATCTTTTTATACTCAAGGCCCTTCATGTGTCGTGAAATAATATCCTCTCAGCTATTTGTAATACCAAATTAAAAATGTTCCGTGTTCATTTTATAACTAAAGGTATTAAGAAGTAAACCGCAGTTATCTAAATCCTGCTCTTTGAAGAATAATGTTTTTCTTAATGGATACATTAAATAATTTAAATATTTATGATTGCAACCGTATAAAGCATTTATATGGCGTTTTGTTGCGTTTGCTCAGCAAAGTCAGTGTTTGTTGAGACATTCTTTTAACTAGTTTTACGTGTCATCGCACACTCAAAAAATAAAATGGTGTTTCTTGTTTGTAATAAAGCCCCTAATGGCTCTCAGAAGAGAAGGGTGATTGGCTGATTGCCTCTGTTGCTAGGCGACGGCTTACCGTAGGAAAATGGAGAAAAAAGATGGACACAGGGTGAAATGCTATATAACATTATTTAATAATGAATCTTCATGGTGTAACCATAAAACATTTACAAAATATTCACACGGTGATGCAGTCAGTCGACAATACATTTATTTCATTTATATATATTCAAATAAAAAGTTTATACTCTATGTTTGAAATGCTATTTTCTCTTTGCAGTCTGTAGATCAATCTATTATGGGTGATATACATACAATAATTCAATACAATTTACATATGCAATAATCTGCCAACTAACAAGGACCAAGAATAAAGATTATATACAAAATTTACAAGGAAACACCTTAGCATATATCCCATCAGGCACGGTCTGAAATGACCGATAATTTCTCCCTGATTAACGCATAGAAATATAATGCATTTACTCATTTCTTAAAAATGTTATACATTTCTAAATCACAAATGGGTGATTCTCATAAAGATTGAGTGAAAACAGCTTATGTCATTTCAACAGGGCACCAACAAACCGCCCTCCCAACTGTGTGTTAGACATTTCTATTGGTATGGACTAGACAATGTGTGGAAAGTGCCCTTTACACGTTGTTCGTAGCAGAAATGTACAGTAAGAAATCATTGTTGGGGATGGTTTGTACATGATTCCTTTTTCTCTGGGCGACAGTGTGCGCTTCCCTCCTGTTAGCTTTGTGTGCTGGGATGTGAGTACAAAGTCTTGCGAGGGACTACGGGCTCTGGCCTCTTTTTGGTCTTCAGCACAAACTCCCCGATGGGAGAGGTGATGACTTGGTGGTTGGATGTTGACTCGAAGCACCCAAGGAAGAACGTAGTTTGTGTTTTAATGTTTGTTTGAGAGATCCTGGAACTGGAGGAAGACTAAGTCCAGGAGCCTCCCCCCTTACCTACTTTTTAATTTATTTTTTATTTTTTTAAGTTCACCCTCTTATGGCATCAGACTTGATGATTTGAAGCTCCAACAACAGCTGACCCTCATGCAGAGGCCAGTGGTCTGTATGTGGCAGGCCGGGGGTGCCATGGGGAGCAGGGAGGCTCCCCACAGCAAATAACTACGGAAGCTTTTGGCTCTTTGAGCTCAAGGGTCTATGCGGAAAGCTAGGAGCTTGTCAGAGTGGTGGTTGTTCAGGGTGCGCAGGTCGGGCAGGCGGAGCAGCAACTTCGGGAAGAGGGTGCTATCGTCCGGGCGGCGACTGGAGGTGAGGGAGCGCAGAGCTTTTATTAGATTCTCCTGCAGTTGCTCCACTGCTGCCACCTCCACGATGCCCGAGCGATCTGTTCGAAAAGGAGGGAGAGGGGGGAATCAGTTTAGAGGCAAGGAAATATGTGCATCAAATACGTGTACATGTATTAGTGTGCCTGCTTACCGGCAGAAACCAGCACGACAGCCATAAAAAGAGCCATCTCGTCTGGCTCCAGACACAAAGACCCGAGCTTCTCGCTGAATTCAAACATGGCGTCGAGTAAGGAGCCCATGCCAAGAGCCCGAAGGGATGCCAGTGAGTACGTCTGCCCATTGAGGAAGGTCACCGTCCTCTCCTTGGGGTCAAACAGTGAGCAGAATCTCACCATCAGAACCTGTGGACGAAAACAGACCAAATGAGCATCAGAAAACAACAACAACCTCCAAACGGTCGGAAAGAAAGTCAAGAAAATGTCCCACGACAAATCATTCTTAGCTGTGCTGTACCTGGAAAGTGCCCGATTTGAGCAGCATGACCTGATCATGCTGGCTGAGGGACTGGAAGCCCGGGATGCTCTTTGCAAACTCCACCACTTCTTTAACAGCAGGGGTGAAGCACTGGGAGAAAGACTCCCACACCTCCTGACTGGAGCGACTGGCCGGAGCCACGGGGCACGAGTTGAGCGGACACGCCTGCAAGACGAGAAAGGGAGCAGAGAGCACAATAAGTCCAACAGACCTTTTTCAATGATATCCAACTGGCTGAAATGAAAACTTCATTTCAAATCAAAAGAAAAAGTCTCACCAGCACTTTGGCCCCTCCGTTCAGCTTCCAGGGGCAGGGGCTTTGGCTGCGGGAGTCGCTGGCTGAGTAATTGGCCGAGTAGGCCTGAGAGGACAGGCGGCCGCTGACGGGGCACCGATTCTGATTGGAGAAGGTGTACTTGGCGTTGTCGACCACGGCGCCGTTGCCGTTGTTGTTGCCGGCGGAAACGGGGCAGCCCGTGGGAACGTGGTAGCCGGCCTGCTCCCCGAGGACCGTGTGGTGGGTCTGGGTCGACGAGTGCGACAGCGAAGGCTGCTGCGCGGAGCTGTTGTGGAAGCAGGAGGTGCCCGCGGCCATCTTGGGCGGTTTCTCGTCTCTGCTCATTAGGTCGCCGTGGTAAGACTGCGCGGCGGGGCCCGCTCCGTCGCTCGTCTGGCCGTGTGGACTGCAGGGGGCGTCGGTCGGAGGCGACACCTCCATGTCCATGGAAGCGGATTCGTTGAGACTGTTCATGTAACTCTGCATCTCGTCCAGCAGTCTCTGCTTCTCCCGCTTGGGAATACGCCCAAAGCGCACAGCTGGAGGAGGAGAGAAGCACTCTGCGTTAGACTTCCCCGGCGACGAGGGTTGATATCGCTGCCAGCTCCTCGCTGGCGACATGTTATCTGACACGAGTGACAACATCAAAGATGGTAGAGAAGCAGACACTTTGTCCTAATATCGGTTCCTTTCTGGGGATTACTGACGCCGATGAGTCTCTGTTGTTTCACCACAACGTGGACTCGTCTTATCCGACTGCCTCAACCTTTACAATCCTCCCCCTCCCTCCCTTTTCAATTGTGCACTTCTTCCGACATTCCTATTTATAGCGCGCTGTACCATCTTCCAGTTAAACATTCCATCTCTAAGTTTCTGTGGAAGTAGGTCACTGGGTCAATAATGCTAAACTTAATTCAGTTTGGAAAATGACAGGAAACGAGATGTGGAAAGTTCAAACCGACGAGTGAGGCAGGTAGGAGAAGGGAAGAGACAAAAGGTTGAAAAAGGATGGTCAAAGTGGATTTGCTAGCAGTTATCATGTTGTCAAAGACATAGACTAAAAGAAGCTTTGAGAGTCTATATTATTATAATTCTATGTTTCTAAAGAACCAATAACAATGGATTTCCCTTTTCATTTACTTTGCGTGTGCAGAAAATGAAAACATGGTAATCAACAATAAAGTTTCAAGCAGGTGAATGTTTGTTTTTTTAGGTCAGCTAAAAATGTTAGCTCCGGAAAAACATGATTTATCATCACCTAGTTTAGCTGCGTCCCGAGAGATGGGAGTCCTGCGGTGAAATGATGCAGTAGAGCGGATCAACTGCAGTAATGTTATTTTATATCAAGTCGAGCGCTGTAGGTTCTCAATAAGACGACAGCATAATATTATGTCTCAAATGATTGATTGTTAATATCAATGTTACAAATAGGTCACATCTCAGTGGACGTGCAGGTTAACCAACAACTGTGTGCCCCAGTTTCCCAGAATAAACTATATTTGTCACAGTTTCTCCAAGACTGATGACCACTGGGACTCGAAAGCTCGTCTTGCTATAAATCAGACAGTAGGGCAACAAGAGAGGACGTCAGCGAGAACCAGGGACAAAAAAGGAAAGATAAAGGGAAAGTTAAGTTGTGTGAAGAGGAGCTGAACAAATTCCAACGAGAACCTGTATTTCTTCAAAGACACCTTAAATCCTCTCCTCTACACTGAGAAAACCAAAGTGGACATCACTGTCTCTCACCATCTCTGGACATGCCCACGGAGAGACACTTCTTGAAGCGGCAGTGCTGGCACCGGTTTCTGTTCATGCGCATGATGAGACAGTTTTCGTTCTTCACACACATCTTGTAGTGGATGTTCTGCTGAATGCTGCGTCGGAAGAAACCCTAGAGACGGCACGGGAAGAAGAAAAGGGCTTTAAAGAGGCTCTATTGTGGCAATGGAAAGACGTGATGTAGTACTATCGGCGCGCGGTCTCTCACCTTGCAGCCCTCACAGGCGTGCACGCCGTAATGGAACCCAGAGGCGATGTCGCCGCACACCTTACACAGAAGCACCATACCTCCGGTTTCTATCAAAGAAGCACACAGCCGTCGTCAGAGAGAGAAACACAGCGACAGGGTGCTGGAGGGGGAAGTAGGGAAGCGAGTGGGTACTTACTGGTGAACGTGCCCGTGAAACCACAAGGCCTTTTGGCCACTGTGGGGTGGCTGAAGGTTGCGGACGACGCCGTCGTTATCTGGGCCGCGGCAGCGTTGTTCGCTTCGGGAAACTGGAAGACCAACTTCGGGGAAGGTGTCCCCCCCCTGCGCTCCCCTCTCTGCTTCAGGGGCCCGATCTCCTGAAAGGAGACACCCTCTGGGGAGGAAGGCTGCGAGTGGGAGGAGGGAGACTGGGTCTGGTAGCCACTTGAGGGGCTGCCAGGACTCGGGCTGGCGCTGCCGGACGAGCCGGCGTACAGGATGACACCACCTGGAAGAACAGAGAGAGGCACAGAGCTCAGCGGGCCGATCTTCATCTGGGGCGTGTTGGACAACGTGAGCGGGGGGGTGCCAGCGTCGAGCAGTGCTCTACTTAGCACACGCAACCCTCTGATCGACGTAACATATCTGATGAATCATTTTGAGAAAGCGTTGGGTAGTCTTTTGTTTTTTTGTAGGTGATCATATAACAAGACAGGCTTTGTCGTGGCAACAGGCGTGTCGCTTTAAGCGGTTGGTTTCATGCGAGTAGATGCTGATAAACGTGCAGGAAGGCGGATAATGATCCTTACGTGTTGACTGGACCAACAGCCACACGTGGCTTATCTAACCAGAAAAAGATTAAGGCTAAATGTTACGTCCGATAAGGGATGTTTACTACAGCAGCTACATTTCTGTGATACAACAGCCTGCAGTGCGTTATTATTTCCCAACAACGCGCGTTTTCAGGACAAAACACGCAGCAAACGTCTGTGGAATAGTAGCCCTAAAATGAGTCACCACACATTCCACATTGAGCCACACACCAGCTTTTGTTTAGGATTTGTCATCGAGTAGGAAATGTCCTTAGAGCCCTCAACGCAACACCCATCCGCCCCCCTCTGTTTCGAACACAGTGTTCTTCCCGGAGATAAAAGCCTGCCCCTCACGTGCAGGCTCAGCCAGCCGGCTCCCCGCCCTCCCCGGTCTTTCCTCCTCTCCTCACCCCCTCCCTTCTTCTCTATCCTCCTCCCCCTTGCACCCCTCCTCCTCCCTCCCTCGGGCTGCGGGCATTCAGACCCATCTACCCGCCAGCCACCTGACCGAGAGCTCACATGGACTCTTGACACAGTTCCCGCCCGGCTCACAAGGCTCTTTTTGCGCAGTCCCGTGTAGACAACAGCAGCAGCACAATAACAAGCGCCATGCAGGGCACATCACGTTTGGAGCACAGAGGGCTGCGGCTACAGCAGCAAAGCAAAGCCGCCTCAGCGCTCCTCGTTCCACAGCACAGTCACGTTGCCTCTGGCCATTATCTTGATGCATTTAAATGAGGCTTTTTAGCATTTTTATTGTACGCACATAGCACATCTGTTAAAAAGGATGGGGAAAATAGCATAGACAAACTGTTTTTCTACAGAATGACTTGAATTTAAATTATCATAGCAATACATATTAAAATAACAATCTTGGGAATCTCTTCTAGTGGAATATTCCTTCTCATTCCCATATGATGATCCTCTGATTCAGGGCAGAGTTTGCCCTCCAGTTTTATTTGCAATTAGATCACTGTGTCAGCCGGGCGTCTCAATACCTTGGCATGAAAGTCTGCTAACCGAATGATTTCCCACATAAGGAGACGGCACGCTCCACATTTATTCATTATCATGATGTGCGTCACGTGCAGACAGAGGTTTTCACTGCAGGACGCGATGTCTGGCCGAAACGTTAAGAGAGGGGCGGCATGATCCCAATTAGTAACAAAAATCCTTGGATTGTCTCGCCTGTCATTCTGTGCACGTTTCCTCTCAAGGACTTTAAATCTTTGAAGAGCCCCCCCCCTTCCCTCTTTGTGCTCTCTCTCCTTGAAGAAACACGTGCCGCACTTCTGTTTATCTCTAAGTGCCTCCTTAATTCCCCGGCTCACACGTGTCTAAGCTGAGTGCGAGGTGCTCTGGGCCGAAGGGGGGATAGGAGGGGGGGGGGGTCCTTTGTGGTAGTGGGAGCTCCAATATCAGCCAGACTGTGACGTGTCGTTCCCTGTGCGTAGTGTGTGTGGAGCACAAAGCTTTTTTTATACGGGCATGTGTATCCTCTGCTGCGGCGTTACATGAGCTCCATTCTCTCTTTTCTACATCCACAATCGCACCTTCGCACCTTCCCCCCCCCATTAAAAAAGACATTCCACATTGTGTCTCCTCCTATACGCATTTCCTGGAATCCGGTGTGCCCGGGTGCCAGATTGAGCTCCGGGAACGTCATCCGGGCTTTACTCAGGCACAGGTTACGACATGTGACCTGTGGATACACAGAGCCACAAGAAGCACAGAACAAACAACCCGGCCCTCCGCCCCTCCCTTCTGCCAGAGCTCCATGAACTCGCACTCATGTGTTTCCACCCCCCTCTGGGCATGAATGCACGGCAGGCATGTATATGCGGCGTGCGCATACGTCCGTCTGGGAGGGAGACGCCCCCACTATTAACTGTAAACTAGGTTGTCCTCTTTCGTGTGAACATTTGCAACTGTGGGTGGGCAGTTTAAGCCCCACTCCACGTGAAACAGCTGGCCCCCCATGTCATGTGTCTATTTATGAAGCACAGGGTTGGGTCTCTGGCGTTGGAGAACAAAGGGCAACATTTACTGTATATGGAAAAGGTCTATTATCAATAATATATTATATATATATATATATATATATTATATATATATATATATATATATATATATATATATATATATATATATATATATATATATATGAAGTGCCAACGTTAGGTACTGTGGGTTTACCCGTGCATATATAATAGACCGTAGCAGGTCGTTCCTAATCCGGGGATAGAAATACTATCTGCCACGTGAATCAAGCTCAGCTTTTATTATATATTAGCTTGTTGTCTGATTGTCTTTAGAGGAACCAACCAGAAGGAATCCGGTTTCAGGATTCTACATTGAGTTTATTGTTCCCACTGGTGTCAATGACACCCAATACATAAGGGACATTTTTTTCTGCCTTCTGGCATAATGAGAATACACGGCTTGGATGACATATCGTTTTGATGACTGAAGGCTGTAACGCTCGGGCCACAGCGGTGTTTCTGAACCCAGGAGGTTGCATGTTCTAATTCAACACCGAACACAACACATTCACAGCAGTGATTATGCGGTTTAATTTTCAACCAATATGGTGGAAATGACAACGGTTGATTACGTTTGCTAGAATATAGTGCAATGATAGAGTTTTAGATATAGTGCTAATAAGTCTGGATTCTTTTGTGAATAGCCTATACCTCTATTGCTCAATGCCCGCATGATAAGGTTTCGTTACGGCGTCTGGTTATCGTCGCTCAAAACACTTAAGTGCGTGCGTGCAGGAACTGTACCCAAGACCCAGTTTGAACGCAATCGAAAGTAGGTTAAAATGTCCTTTTGATACCAAACGACAACACCCCGTCAGATAAGGTCCATCACAGCTACTATTCAAACCGGTGAAAGTAACCATGAGGAAAGAAAAGGCCGCTAAACCTCTGTGACCCACTGACCAAGCTCTCAGTAGATGGAGAGGAATCCCCGTGCAAGCAGAGCGCGCGCGATGGAGAGGAACATTCGGGGGGGGCGGGTGTTCTCTTGAATCAAGCCTCGGCACGTGGATTGTTGGGCTGTACGCACGTGATGTCAGCTCGAGGCAACTGCGTGTTTAAAAAAAAAAAAAAAAAGGAATCAGGCGCATGATTCCCAGGGTGCACCGGGCGGAGAGCGGATGAGAAGATGTGACGGTCGCAACGCGTCACGACGTCTGCGCGCTGCACGGTGACCATTGAATACATTGAGTGTATATTCATGTCGGGGGAGGAAGGGATGCATTTAACAAGTGACGTCGCTGTGTCACTTCAACGCGTGTTAACTCTGACACGTCATCTATTTTAGTCCGGGGTGGCCTGTAATCTATCTCAGCGCTATAAGAGGAGAAATAAACACGTGATTTCGCGTGTCCGCGGCATTCAATGCTTCTTATAGCCCACCGCCTACCCGAGCTGACAAAGAGATTCATTGGTTTATATCGTTTTTATTTCTGACTCAGTGGGCTCAACTTCTCCCCCTCTAAAGCCCATTCACTCGAGTTTCGGAGTAGCTACACTTCTAAAGGCGAAGCAGACAATGAATCAAGCGCTGCAAGATAGAAACTTCGTCTGGACTAATGCGCCAAACCCGGAGCATCAATAACATAACATGCGAATGAAAAGACAGTAATGAGAATGACGACGTGCAGCGGGTCGGGGGGGGGGGGTGTCGCGCCTCGCGCAGGTTTGTTTACATGCAGAGAATCGGAAGTCCGCTGCAGAGATTGACGACAGAGGACTTCCCTCTCCGTGCGCTCTTCGCTTACTCCAAACCCTCGACTGTCTGCAGCCCACGAGCACCTGGCTGCGTGCCATGTTACACAGCCGAATCATATCTAAACCACCACCCTTTCACCCGGAATGATGTCGGATCCGGGAGCGGGACTGTAGCAGGGTTTACCGCAAGCTGTACAATATGTTTCACACATCGCAGATCCGGCTCGGCATGAATTAGGAATTGCACAAAGTGCATAAAACAATGAATTGCATTAGACCGTGTGAATAAAAGTGAAAGCAGGCAAAGATAAAGCACAAAGGGGCACACTCGCCATTCTCCGCCAACGAGCAGTTTTAATGTTGACAGATACAATTAAAAAGACTGCGCTAATAAAGCCTTTCAGAATTAACGAATCAATACGCAAGCTCAAAATAATATTAAATAGTTGACGTAGAGAAGTGTATTGGCATCTGAGCGGACTGCACCATTTCAATTTCACTGATTAACGTTATTGCTGTTTGACAAAAGGCAAAAAAATATCATATTTCTAACGGATTCCAGGAAAACACACACACACATACATATATATGGGGCTATAAAGGTCACTCACCACCAGGACTGTGCTCCATGTTTTTTCCGGTAGGTTGATGCTGTTCGGTTGTTTATCGCGCGCGTCTGACGCCTTCGCTTCACACCGATGAGTGTCGTTGATATAGAACAGAGTCAAGAGTGTGAATCCGGAAGCTCAGACCAACAGCAGAGTGCGCGCGGGGGGCATCAGAGTTGATGAGGAAAAATCTAATTAAAATATTTTTTCAGAGGGAAATTGGAGCAGGTCAGTAGGTTGCTCCGAATAACCTCCGAGGTGAAGAGACTGCGAATGACAGCTCGGCTCTCGGCTCCGCACACCTACGATGCAGCGGCGTCACTGACGGGCTCCTCTAACGCGCTCAGCCGCCGTGTACAGTCACCATCAAAACATGACCGGAGTGCAAGTAGTTCAAACGCCCCCACTCATCAATAGGCAACACGAGTCCTAAAATAACCAGCACGTTTTCAGGTCCCTGAGTGAAATGTGACCATTTTTTTCCCGTTTTTCTTTTTGTAGTCCCGTCAGCCGCGTCTCTCTCTCTTTCTCGCCCCCCCCCCCGTTCACTCGTCCTCGGCCGTTCATTGGCTAAGAGCCGCGCTCGTCCGACATTGGAATGCTGGGTAAAGCTCTCCAGCATGTGCGCATGGCATGTGAGCTCGCTGCCCTACTGACACACATTTTATGCTAATGATCGCGATAAGGAGACGAGGAAACGAGAGGTCTCACTCCTTCCTCCTGCCCCGACCTGTGTCGCAGTTTGTTCGGTGAGGACAAACCATAATGGGTTTTAGCGGTATTGTGAAATACTTTTTCGGCGGTGACGTCACCGGTGGACACCAATACGTTTCCCTTGTTATCAAGAAAAGCAGAGCAAAGGTGACACGTCAATTCAAATGATCTAATAAGAGGTGCAGCCTACCTTTTAATAAAACATATAACACATATAGGTTAACATTGTATGTATGGTGAATCTAATCGGGTGTGTATATAAGCAAATCACTATAAAGCAGTATTAATGTTATATTAATACTTTCTAATATCGCGACATTTTAAAAAGGCTTTTTATTTATTCATTTTATTTGTATTTGCCTAAATGTATATATATATATATGTGTGTGTGTGTGTTTTTTTTAATGAATTTATTAAACAGTTAAATACGTCTCTAATTAATAAGTAGGGTACAAGGTCGAGCTGCAACAAATAAAAGGTCTTGAATAAGACCTCATAAGACGGAGAAGGTGAGCGGCATTATGAGGTCAACGTGTCAGCGGCGATCCACGTGCCTCCCCTGTTCTCGGCATAACCGCATTAGCAGAGCGCATGCGCAGAGGCCAACGCCCACGCTGTCACCACAGAATCTGGGGCGTTCTTTGATCGACGAGGGGGCCCTCTTTCCAAGCAGAGGCGATCTTTGCTTGGAAAAGCTGGCACGTGTGCAGAGGGCGGTTCTCACCGTGACTCCCACCAGTTTCGCACAGCACCTCCTCCTCGCCATCACGTTTCTCTTCTCTCCGCAGATTGTGTGTTTGCATAAAGCCGAACTATCGCCGGAGATTGGCCGGAACAGAGTGAATGTAGGTCAAACATGCGCACCGCAAAATAACTCACATGTGTTCTTATAAAAAAAAAAAAAGAAGACGCGCTGTCCTTTCAGAGAGCACTCGGCTTAGCTGCGGGCAGGCACGTGGGAAATGAAGCTACTTTTAAGTCACGCAGCTCACCCCTTGGTGCATTTTGTTCACAACCATCTTATTCTTATTACGGTGAATAAGGCCGAATGAGAAACTCCTTGACATATTTCCTCTTCTAGGGAATTGGGCTATGGGGTCATAAAATATGTTCGACATACAAGGACAATGGACAACAAGATAGATAAGACAACATAGTGCAAGAAAATGGCGTGTTAAAGTTACATATTTACAATTTGACTTTAGGGTATAAAATATAAGGCTATGGGCTGGAGGGATATAGAATAAACCATTTTAAAAAAACGGATAAGAAGGCATTTAAATTAAAAATAAAGTGCACCAGCGAGCAGATAACAATACTCTACACAACTGTGTTGTGAGTGTATGTGAAAGTGACAAGTGTGTGTGTGTGTGTGTGTGTGTGTATGTGTATGTGGAGTGTGAAGGGAGAGGGATGGCAGAGTCAGTGGGGGGATCAAATGATAGGACGTCCTCATAGACTTTAAATGTTTCTCTTTACTTTTGTATCCAATCTTTCCTCTGGGTTTTGACTCTGCCTGCTGCACATTGTCAGAATCCCCATCACAGCCTGTGTCCGAATCAGGGAGCAGGAAACCTTTGAGTGCTCTGCAGGTTTAGAAATGTGGGACACTGAGAGGACATTTCCTCCACTCACCTTGATTATCTGCACAAGTGCACGAGACGTATTTAACGGCCAATGTCTTTTGAACAGATCCAAGTTGAAGGAGATTAAAGTTACGCGACTACCTGACCTTGAAAGCCTCAATTTCTCATCGAAAAGAGAATTTATTAAGGGTGTGGTTATTTAGGGATTTAAATGAAATAGTGACAACCAACCACGTGTTCCAAAGTGTTTTACTAAAAATTAATTAGATGTATTTTAGATTAAATCACTCACCTGTATAGTTAAAAGCTCAACGTTGGCCTTAAACGTTAGAGTACTGCCAACACAATGGCATAAAATTATCAAATGATAATAGGATATTGATTATATGCCGACGATATCACACTAACGGGCTATTTGAGATTATTTATTTATTTTAATTTTGCTCTTTGAGGTGCATTTTGTTGCTAATGTGCTATAACCCAGCCGGCCAAAAGTCTGACTAACGGAAATACGACTGCTGGACTGCACAGAACAAAAAACTGAACAACTTCACATAATAAAGCTCATCTCTGCGGTACGTTTGTCCTTTAAGAAAGATCCATAATCAACAATTAACTTCAGCGCATGACTCATGAAACCGTTCATGCGGTGTATTTTTTTACCAAATAAGGTATTAATATTAACCAGTAACTCACTGTTCGTTCTGTATGTATTTCACTCATTTAAATGAAACACATTTTCTACAGTTTGGAACAATTCAACGTTTAATGTGGAATGAATGAATAAATCGGTCGATAAATAAACACCACAGTCTGAGGCTTTGAGCTCCTGAACAGATGCAATAAGTAGACAAACAGCGCGTCCCTGTGGTGTAAATGAGTACTACAGCCTCACATCAGGGGAACTCGCCAGATGTTGTTGTTGCTGTCATACGAAGACGCAATGTACTGGTGACTTTTACAAGTGTTGCATTGCAGCAGCTGCATCGTGGAAACTTACCAGGATGTTTTGATAATGACAAAAAAAATGTTTCATGGTTTGGGAAAATATGTAATGTGTTTGCTGAACCACAGTTCATCGGTGGAGCGTTGGTGTCACGTCACTGTGCTCGCCTTCCTTTTTAGCAACAATATTGCCAGGGGGAAAATACATCCTTCCCCTCCTGTGCTTCTCACTCTTTACTCTCCACAAGGTGGCACTACTTGTTTGTGAAAGCTCTTTGAGTTGTCCATTGCATCAAGTTCACAAAGTCCTCACAAGGTCTACTTTTATTGGCGGAAGGGCTTTAAAGCCTCTGCAGGCGTAACCAGCAGCTTATGTGTGGAGGCGTGTGTTTACTGCATCAGTAAAGATGCAGGGGGATCACGATGAATTAGCATTGATGCTCCAATTAAAGTTGTTAATGCCATAGAAATATAAGCAGACACGTTTCATTACCTCTGTGTGGACACACTGTGTTGAGGTCAGCAGAACTTCACTCATTGCATCTTATTTGCCTGGAAGGTATCTTTTGTCATCTTTGATAACTGCAGTGCAAAGCCTGCACTGTATTGATTGCTTTGCATGTAAACTGAAATCAATGTAGAGGCAGCCTACACAGAGCTCAAGTTAAAACCCACAGCCTGGGGTTAGATTCAACATGAGGTTTATTACGCACCCTGCCTCTTTAGAATACTCACTTTATCAGTACAACCAAACAGACTAAAACATTAAGCGGCATATAGTAGACTGAAATGAGAAAGGAACAGCACAATAGTCATATGACTTGACATAATAACTGAATTGACCTTGAAGGATATTCTTTCTTTCCCTTTCCAGCGGAAATACAGAAGCGTCTCCTCTGGACAGGAATGGGATTCATTTCCCTTCAGGAGAGGTGAGTTAAAATACCTAAACACAACACCACCAGATGGACAGTTTTACAAAGGCATATATCCAAGAACAGACAAGACTGCAAAAATATGGATATAAAAACTTTTACATTTTAGAAGTTATCTTAATCCTAGTGCCGCGTCTGACGGGCCGACAACAACAGCCTCTCGGCAGACGCACAGCGGGTGATGTGAAAGGCGAAGCAATTTAAAAACAATGAAACCAGCGGAATAGCTGCTTTGTTGCGTAGTAAGAACTAACCCCATGGGTGTGGTTAGTAATTCTATTCAATTCATTTTATTACAAAAATGTATTATACATTTGCCTCAGAGGGCTTTACAGTCTGTACACATGCAACATCCTCTGTCCTGAAACCCTCACAGCGGCACAAGAAAAACTCCCCAAAAAAGGAACCTTAGGGAGAACGTCAGAGGAGGGATCCCTCTCCCGGGATGGACAGACTACAATGGATGTCATGTGTACAGAATGAACAATGTAAAATAAGTACAATACATTAAATTCCTATAACATAAATGATTTAAATAATCGCGAGTAGCAAGCCAGGTGTACGGCAGGACCGCTGCAGGGACAATCAGATAGAACCACTATGGCCAATCCACCGCTAAATATCACTTTATGAGTGGCTGTGTAGGAAGTAGAGCTTTGCCCTTGTAGCTATGGACTGTAATAGTGATGATAGGCCGGGCATGTTGGTCCAGGTGTGGCCCTCTCAGAATAAAAGGTATGGTTCTTGGTGGGCTTGGTTCTCCACCATCAATGGGAATTCATTATTTGAGCTTTTCTTTTCCCCATTGGAGGGAAGCTTTTGTTTCCACACAAATGGAGATCGCGAGAGTTTTCTGCGACACACAACCAACTGCATACATGAGCAACTTAATCATATCTGTTTTGATGAGAATGAAATGAAAGGTCGTGAATGTGTTCTAAAAATGTTAAGATGACAGCAGAATGGAAACGTGACAATAGCTTTAAATATCCAAACACGAAATACCCAATTGACAGCAGTGCTACAATTAATGTTAATTTTCCTTCAAACTACAGTATAGACAGTAAAACAACATTTTGATTTTGTGTTTTAGCAGGGAACCACATCTGGATTATCTTCTACTGATGCTCACAGAGAGTAACACATTTCTCACTGCGCCATATAGATTCATGCAGATAACCGCATGTACTCTACTTCCTGGGGAATATCAGGGTCAGCTGGTGTCAATAAAACAAACACAACAGATACATCAACAATTAGATGAGATGGTCCTGCTGACTGCATCACAACTCGTAGGTCATCAGTTGAAAACCTTCAGGAACCACATTAGTCTCTTGATAATAAAAATGACTGTAGCTCCAACTTGTCTGCGGTCTGATGCTGTCCAGAGATCCTTTAGTTAGTTTGAGTAAATCAGTCCCCAAAGTAGGTTACCTTGTGCCATATTGTTCTAAAAAAATCAATATGATGTTTTTACAATTTCCAGAGTCACACCGAGGGATCAGAGCGAGGACATCTTTGCATTATCTTTGTCTGTAGGTGTCCCTTCGTTGTTACCAAACAAACACGTCAACTCCATTGTCGACAGGAGTTCAGGGTAAATAAATCTGCATTGGTTCATGTTTGGAAAGAAGAAGAAGAAGTCGGGCATAAATCATCAGTTTGTTTTTGGTTGCAGGCTGGATGTGTGGTTCAGAAAGAGGTTAGAGGACATTTTAAGATGCAAAAATATATTGCCTAGCTTACTATTTGGCAGATGTCTGCATGTGTTGAGGTGGGATTTTACTGCTTTTGCTGGAAACTTGAGTATCACAGGACTTCCTCTGATTTAAAGGAATGCTTCAACATTTTCTGAAATACACTATACTTGAATATACTGCTCACATATCTGTACTCTAAATGTGTGGCTGACCAGCATAGCAGGAAGTTAGCTTAGCTTAGCATAAATAATGGGACCTAGGGAGAAAAGAAGACTTAGAACTTTGTCCAAATGTAACAAAGTCCATCTACCGGCACCTCTAAATCTCCGTAATTGACATGCTGTATTTGTGTAATATGTGCAAAAGCTGCCTTTTTATGGGGGTTTATGTTCCAGACTATTTCTAGGCCTTGACCGGTGTCTTACCTAGTTGCCAGGCAACTTCATGAAGTTATTGGTCCCGAAGTAGTCTGAACCATATAAAAAAGATTTTTTTTACAGTTTAACATTTTGTTATTTAGACAGATGAAATCTTTCCTAAGCTAAGCTAGCAGGCTACCGACAGTAGCTTCAATGTCCCTGTGCAACGGACAGTGTCTCCGGCTGAAGAGGAACAGGAAGAAGAGGGAGATGATACAGGAGCCACCGGGTTACTCCCCTTCACCTTCTTCTCCTCCTCTTCCTGCTCCTCCAATTACCCGTCCCCCCCTCATCCAATCATTCTGTTTTCACAGCGGTTTGCCCTCCAATCACTGTCTGTCCTCCAGGCAGTAACACTTACACATATCTGCAGTAATTAGACAATCATTTCCACATGTGGATCAAACTCCTTCAACCACCATCCCCCATCCGCCCACTGTCTCCTTTTCCCTCGCTCTGTTTTTCTTATTTCCCTGTCTCACACTCCACTACCCTCGGTGTGCCCCTTTTCACTCTCGCTCTCCCCCTCTTTCTCTTCTCTTTCTGATTGAATTACCATAAGTGCAGGTCTCAATATGCCAGCTTGTTTTGATTAGAACTGTCCTTGTTATAACCGGTGACTTTCCAAATGGCTGTAAGCACTTTTTGGTTTGTGTGTGTGGGAGGAGGGGAGGACAGGGGGTGCATGCAGTTTGGGTAAAACAAAAAAAAAGCCAGACAACATTATATGGCGAGAGATGAAAAGAGGAAGCTGGAGAACGAGATGGGGACAGAGTGGAAGGTAATGGAGAGGCGGTGCGGGGAAGTCGGAGGGTTCAGAAGGAGACGGTAATGGGGGTTGACAGAGTTGGGTTCACAACAGGTTCATGGTGACATCATGGTTGAATTTTGGGGAGCATTTATATAGGAAACTCTATTCACTGTTCATTGGATACACATGTACACCCCCCCAACTTTCTTTTTCTTTGCCGTCTTTTTCCTTCTGTCTTTCTCCACAGGGCCACACTCAACGATACAAACAACAGCAAATATTCAAATTGAGCAGTTTTGGGTCGGCGTGTGTGCTGTTACGCCTTTACTTTACCCGCACATTGTCCGCGCTTGAGTGCAAAGGCCTCCTTTTTTCTCAGGTTGTGTGTCGAACTTTACGACCCGAAACTGACAACTGCCACCACAAGTGCCCCTCCTCTCTCCCCGGTCCTCCTCCTCTCTCCTCCTTTCTTTCTTTTCTTTTTACCGCACGTCCAGCCAATGCTAACCACTGGTACAGTATGTCCTTTGTGTGCATGTTGTTGATCTGTTTGAGCGACAGAAAAGACATAACGGGTCCCTGGGAGTCTAAGCCTGCTCACCGCGTTCGTGTGGGTAACAGCAGGGAGTTGTGACGTGTCAAAGGTTCTTTGTGTCTTGTGCTTCCAGTGCCTTTGGTTTGTGGGCCTTTGCTGCCCTGATGATGACTGTAACCGTGTGTATCCTTGTATATTTGTGTATGCCCAGGCGAGAGAGCGAGCTCGTGCTGCGTGCCTGTCATCCTCTGCATGCCTCTCGGGGCGCCGTAGAGCTTCACATGACATCAATCTGAGAGCGGTGGGGTAGTGATCTCATTACCAACAGCCTGTTGCTGATTAAAACCTGCCGTCTGCACCCTCCTCCTTCACCCTTTCTTTTCTTCTCCCTCCGCTTGGCTCTCTTCTCCTTCCTTGTCCTTTGCTCACCCCCCTCCCCCCCGGGCCCCCACCCATTCCCTGCCTCCTCCACCACCAGCTCCATTCTGTGGTTTCTCCGCTGCTCGCTGCCAAAAAGGGCCCCAATTCTACCTCTGCAGAAAGTTATCTGCGCCCCTCTTTTTCCTCTTTCCTTCTAAAAGTTTTCCTACAAAAGTTTTCCCTACTTTTGTTTCTTTTTTTTGTGATACATCTTTAGCAAGTATTCACCAGAAGCCTCTAATATACGACCCGCAGACCCCCCAGCACTCCCTCCTCGTGCTTCTAATCTTCTTGCTGAGTCAACCTGCTCCGACGCTCACTGACACTAAACGAGAACAAAAGGCGGAGAGAATGAAAGCGTCTGTGAATGTGGCCGAGTGCGCGCACGTATCAACGTGCGTCCACATGTTGCGCTTATCACCGCCCCGTGGATTCACAGTTCAGAAATCTACAAATGCTTCTTTCACACCAGATGTTATACCCTCCCCTCCTCTTTGCGCATTTCACTGACACAGAAACACAAACGGGACTGACCTTTGACCTCCCTCGTCGACACCGTCGCTGAGGAGTGTGGCAGCAACACAGATGGTTGAAGCCTGTGATCGGAAACCTCCCACTTTTATAACCATAAAGCCGTTCAAAATCAAAAAAGGGTTAAAGCAGGAAATGTAGATATCCACAAAGTATTAATGAGGCTAAATTAAATATTGTGCTTATGTTTATATGCTCTTTAATTCTTTTAAAAGTTTGCATACAGCAGTGTACGTGCGCTGGGGAAGGAAACACCAGACAAATATCGTTGTCTCATATTTGTACGTTTAGTCCCCCACAAACTAAATCTGTTCCAGATATTTCTTTTATTGTTCTGTTGAAAACATACATGCAGCGAGCTGTTGCCTTCATTCATCCACCCTTCACTCTCCATGTGGCGTAGATCTGTTGTCTCCATGTGTGACAGGAACACACGAAGAAGTACATTGTGTCAAAAAACTATGAGAGTATGCCTTTAACACTTGTTGAGTTTTTTTTGGTATATAAAATATATTTTTCATTTGGGCAAAATATGATAGAAAAAGACTTAGCTTTCCTTTATACTTTAATGTATTGGGGTGCAAATATTCACGCCTATTTGGAGCAAACTTAATCTACAATAGTGTAAATATCCCGGTAAA